TTGAACGTGATAGCGATATCCTCTTCTTGCAGTGCGTACTTCAAAACTTAGTGCATGAAACCTTTTCGAACTTGCTATGCACCCACTACGCGGCCTTGAGGGAATGGGTGCGGTAGCATGGGTACTTTTTGTAGTGTTGTACCAGCCCTTAACCTCAGAGTCATTATGATAATCAAGTTTTCTGACACCCGTTGGCACTAGATGTCTGTTCCCCGCATTATTACTGCAATAGTTCATGTTGCATGGTGAAGCATTTATATAAAGGACGCGTGTGTTTGTGAAGCATGGAAGCTACTTTCATTGCATTTCCCAGCAGAGGAAGTTCTTTTCGCAGTTTTCACACAAGCAGAGGCGTGACCGTGTGGTTGCTTTCATGCGACCAGATGCTACCACAAATTCTGGCAACCGTCTTCCAAGCCTAAGTATTAGAGGTTTCCTAAAAGAAGTTGCTGATTCATATCTCTTTCTAAAAACGCGTTTTTCATTGGAATACCTCAGTACGGTTTCGCGTAAAAAGTTATACAAAAATTTAGTAGAAACAGTTTTTCCTGTTCCCCTATATACAACATTATACCGTGTAGGCCGAGCCCAAAATGTGTTAAGCCGTGTAAAAAAAATGGAGGTATCTACTGGAGCAAAATCCCTTTTCTTTAAATTGCACACTGGGGCCTTGCCCATGAAAACATAGATGCAAAAAAAAGGCTTATTCGTTCCTTGGCATGTTGATTGCCTTCTCTGAAAAAAGCCAGAAACAATCGAACATGTTTTCCTGGGCTGCTGGGATGCAGTCTCTTTTCTGGGATGTTCTCCAAAGGACTTTGAAAAAGGATCTGCCTCTCGATGCCTATGGCATCAGATTTCTACCAGCATCAAATGAAGAAGGAATACCTTTCGACCTATAGTTATGTTACTGGGCCTGCACGGTATACGGCAATCTAGAATGGCGGTGCGCCATGCTAATGTTAATGCACGCCCGGTTAGGCAATACTTCTTTGAATCTGTCTGTTCGTTCGTGGAATCACAAAAGGTTCAACAAAAAGTGCCCGAATAGCTTGATCAAGTAGAAAGCCTTCCACAGATGAAGGAATTTTTAAAAAGTCTGTTAAGCCTGACGCTTTTTACCTCTTTTCTTTGTTTCATGTTTGTCCTTCGTTTAATGTGCATTTGTTTGTGAATGTTGTATGTACACAGGCAATAAAGAAAGAAAAAGAGGCGTGACCGTGTGGTAGAACATTCGCTTGCCACGCAAACGACCGGGGTTCGATTCCCGCTCGGACCCCAAGAACCCTGGTTTGGCCCCCACTTTGCTCCAAGGGTTTTTTTTATCATATTTTATTTGCATCGATCCGGATTTTTCGGTCGCGCATAAGACGATTTTTCGCTCGCAACCAACGACGCCGACACCGGAATTTCTGTGAAACGAGCTCTTTAACGCTGTCGCGTTAATACGCGCGACATGGGTGGGCGCAGCAATGCATATCATACACGAGAATTTTAGAACAGCCATACGATGACTACGGCGACAGTTAAAGCAAAACATTGCAAGATAGGTACAGGCGCACAAAGGAATACAATGAAGAATAAAATAACTGCAACGCCACGTGAAACACGGTTGGAGCAGCGTGATGAAGTATAACCGCCGTGAGTGAATACCCACAGTGCAACTCCCGATTATTATTATTATTATTATTATTATTATTATTATTATTATTATTATTATTATTATTATTATTATTATTATTATTATTATTATTATTATTATTATTATTATTATTATTATTATATCTCTATAAAACATGTTGTTGAGTCAGTTGATTCACGGCGCGCAAAAGGTATAATCACGCAACGCAAGGCGCACCTCTTGTTGTTTTATGCCCCTTTTCTTCCCCAAACATTGTATACGTTATTACCTGTTGCACATTTACTATTATAACAGCGGAAAAACAACATCTGCCAGGCTTAGACGTAGTATGTAAACAACAATGGAGTTAGTATTACAATCAGTTGTGTCCCAACAGGCAGTGTGCGAGTATACCAAATGGCATAGTTGAACTTCAGTCAGAAATTCTCGAGGGGGTATTTTATCATGTTACGCAAATGCGGCACGCAAACACGGCAAGGCTGCACGGTAGAAGTCCAGCTCCCTCGCTCGTTGAGTATTGTACACGCTAGTGCAGGGAGCACATGCAGTATAACTCTGCAGTCAGTTGAGTGCCGCTTCCGAAGTTCGCGGGATCATCCTTCTGAAAAGCGCACAAGCATTTCGCCAATGCGTGCGCACTCCAGAACGAGCCGGACGGCCAGCTCATTACGCGAAGGTATACGAGCGGGGTCTATTTCTTTGTCGAATGCAGGCGGCGATCGACTGCTGCTTGCACCCCTAGATTATTTTCCCATGAGCTGCCACGCATCGATAGTTAGGGCAGGGCCTCAGCGGACTTCTTAAGTCGTAACATGGTCGTAACCGACCGCAGCTGTGCTTTTGCCGCTCCCTGTTCCAGTATTCCAGTCTTCGTGAGTACCCCGAACGACAGGTGTCTTGTTGAGAACGCGTAGGCTAGGGAGTTTTCATGTGGAGGCACGCGCATGAGGGCCCCCTATCGTATAGGCTGAAGGGTAACAGTGAGGCGTGACAACCCCGCAGTAATTTTAAAAAAGCATCCTTAAAAAATTGGTCCCGTATCTGCATCTTTCACTGCAAATGCCGTCGAAAGAAAATCGTCTTGCGCCTGGAGAGAGTGAACAAAACGTTCATTTGATGTTATGCCCGAGAAAATCGGTGAATTGTGTTCTGGAGGCACTGCGTTAGAGAGTCTCGATCCGTGCAGCCAAGGCGAACGAGTAAATCGAGGCACGTTAGACACGAGCGCTATCTGGCAGTTATCTTCGAAAACGAAGGAAGGCGTGCGCGCCAATCTTGGAGGCGATAAGGTGTAGAACGCAAAGCGGCGGGCAGGTGCCACCACCGTGTCGTCTCTGAAAAGCGTTAGAAACACTTGCCTTTTTGAGCATCGCGTTGCCTTGTCAGCGCAGCGTGATAAACGCTAAGGTCCTTAGAATTACTTCTGTATGCCTCCACTATAGTATAAAGACACACATACGAAATGTTGTCCTGTTGTTATGATGCCTCAGATATGTGCAATAATTCTTCTTTAAGTGACAATCGCACAAGCATGAACGCTGAGACTTGAGCAATATTGGTGGGCGCTGCGCATGGGTCGGCCGTTTAGGACTACCGTTTGGTGCCGTTTGGGGTATCGTTACGGTGGAAAGACAAATGTACAGACAGACAGACAGACAGACAGATAGACAGACAGACAGACAGACAGACAGACAGACAGACAGACAGACCAAAATTTTTGCGTCGAAGTACCCCAAAAAAGACTATCGTCTTTCAAAACACAGCGACCGGAAAAGGAGGAGCGGTGGCGTCATAACGTACCGAATTTGCGTACCGTATACTTCCGTAAGTTGGACGGAAACCCGTCTGGCAGAGAAGAAGCATGAACAATATTGAAATGAACACCGACCACGAATACAAGAAGCGAGACGTTTCGTCTACCGCACAGGAAGGAGCCTTGTTCACAAATCTCTTGCACTTATGTTGAATTTTTTGGGGGTCGGTGTTTATTAATTGTAAACAACAAAAAAGACTACAATCGGACGTGGTTGAGCCCCTTTACCCGAGGCCGGCTACCGATAAATGCGGCCGCTGCTGTCGGAAATCGAACTCACAACCTATACGTGATCACAGCAAAGCAACACCGCAGCCACTCGTTAACCTACCACGGCGGGCTCACAGGGGAATGTAGTAACACGTTCAAGTGATGATCTAACGCAGACAGCCACAATTATTTTACCTTTACTTTTTTCTCTTACTGATTCCCCTCTATGAAAATCAATACAGGGCGTGCATCTACAGCGCCGATGGAAAGAGAAACACAATTAGCGTACACAGGGAAACGGCTGTACATGGGATTGCCTGCTCTTAAATGGCGAACGATTGAATCTCCGAATGGGGCCCGCTAAATGACGGTCCACCACGCAATCAGAGAGCTCCGTCGCGCATGCATAACCATATATAGATCGAAGTGGTATAGAAGGAGGAGGTTTTGGGGGGCGTGCGTGTGCAGAAAATGAGCGCTAAACTTCTATGTTCTGTAAAAAAGAAAATACTCTCCACCTCTCTCCGTGTCCTAACTAATCAAGTAAAAACAAAACACCAGAAAACACTGCTAAGTAGATCGTTATTATTATTATTATATTCACCAAGCAATCTGCTACTATTCACCAAGAATTCTGAACATCTCTTATTGATAGACTATAGAAGCCTCTAGCTCCGAAAGCTGTAACACGACTCTTGTTCAATATAAATATTTCACCTTAAAATTTTTTGTCCAACAATACTCATCTTAGCCACGCTTCTCATTTCAGCCTTCGTCCAATTCCATGTCCACCTATACCCCCCACACCCACCTTATCAATACTACATTTTCAAAGATAACATTTTAAGTGACTTTTAAAAGAGCAAAAAGGAAGAAAAAAGCACAGTTCCGTTACTGCCTCTCTCAATGGAGGGCACCTCCACAATTCTGCGCAGGGGATGGGGGTGAAGAGGAATTAAAAAGCATAGGGAGAAATTTAGGGTATAGAGATACAGAGAGGGGCACGGACATCCACATACGGAAGTAAGGAGAAGATCAGAAAGATGGACACAGTCGCAGGAGTCCGAGGACGGGGCACCGCTCAGCGAGAGCTCTTGTCGGCGTCAGGAGATGGCGTAGGGCGAGCCAGTCGGCCAGAGCTGGGCTATCGTCGGAGATCGCGGGGGCACAACCGGTAACATTACGCTGGCGTCACATACGTGCGCCTCATATTCTGTCCGCCTGCTTTCGAGTTCGCAGCGTGCACTTTCGTTTCTTCTTGTTTCGATGTCACCTGCATGAAACAGCTTATCAGTAATACGCGATTCCTCTTACTGTGTGCCCCGTGCAATGCAGCGTACCACGAGTTTCCCCCAGACCTGTTCTCCCACGAGGCCCGCGCCAAGGGCGGCGTGCTGGTGCACATCCTGGTCGTGCTCTACATGTTCTACGCGCTGGCCGTGGTCTGCGACGACTACTTCATCGCCTCCCTCGAGGAGTGCTGCGCCGTGAGTTGACTGGGCACTGCATTCCCAAAATCTCGTCCTTTCACGCGTACAAAGTGTACAATAGCTTTTCAGAGGGATAATTCATGTCGATTTCATAGGTGGCCGAAACCTCGTGTTAACTGTGCAAGCGTGAAATCACGCGGACTTTCTGCGTAACGGATGAAAGATCAAAAGAACGCCTTTCAGTTAAGATTAACTAGTTCCCATTCAAACTGTCCATGACTGTAAATCCGTCTGTGTCTGTGTCATTTACGCGCTTCCATGCTGTGCAGCTTACTATAAATATCAGCGATGAAGGTGAGTTCGTCTAGAGCTTTTTGCAAGTCCGTGCATGGTTCAGCAGACTATATTCTTTACAACGAATCCATTTGCCTTTTAATGGATGCGATGAATAGCCAAGGATGATTCGAGTATGATCCTTGAGGGAGGAAAATAAACATGTTGAACAAGCATACAAGCACCAACCGAAAGGGAAGTTAACTGTTATAGTGTATGTTAAATGACGAACCACTACTTTTTATGGGAGCAGGAGAAAGGACACTCACAATTTCTCTTGTTTGTCAAAATAACGGGGCTGTTTTTATACGTATAGTTGTGCAGACCTTATCTTAAATTAAAGATCGCGCATTTATAGATGTGGAAAAGGTGCTCGGTCATCCCGTACGGCGAATACCCTCACAGTTAGAATGTTACCTAATGGCCATTTTCTCCGAAGAACTGAGATCGCACCAGGAAAAGGGACAACGAGGTGAAATCGCACAAGAGCACTCACTAACGAATGGTCTCCTTATACGCCCAAAGAACACACGGAAACTTCACATGTCAAAAAGAATGATAGATATACGCGTTTTGCAATCGCGTATACAATGAACCGGTGCTTGAGTAGTGAGGTGGTTCTACCTCGTTCGTCGTGCCCTTTTCCGCGATGCCAGTTTTGCGAAGAAAATGCGTCCTTTCATGGACTAGTTTTGCCTCCGACGTAGATCGCCCAGAATGGCGACGGCAGAAGTACAGCGCAGCAGACACGTCACGAAGGTGGCCTTATCAGCTGGGGCTGTACACGCCCATTCAACAGCGTTCCGCATTTAATTGCAGCTACGCCTAGGTGGAGCAGTAGTTATATATGGTGCTCGGCTGCTGAGCCGAAGGTCGCATTTCGATGCAGGATAAACGGCAGAGGTCTGAGTACTGTGCGGTGTCAGTGCACTTTAAAGAAATTCTGACGGTCGAAATTTCCGAAGCCGTCTACTCGTCTTTTATAATGCATGGTTTTGGTACGTAATTAACCCCAGGTATCATCATTACTCAATTGTTGATCACGTGTGTGGCGTGACCGTGCATGGCGAGTGACGTGAAAGCCTCTCGCTATGTGTACTGTCCAGGCCCGTAACCAGGAAAAGAGTGCCCTGCCCCCTCCCCCCCCACCCCCCGAATTTGTATGAAGAGGGGGTTCTACCGAGAACAGATAATGACAATAGGTGTTTTTGAGGTTTTTAACAAGTTTACCCCCCCCCCCCCCCCCCAGCATAAGATTCCTGGCTACGGGCCTGATACTTTCCCATCAATCCATGTCTCACGCAGCGACTGAACCTGTCGGAGGACGTGGCCGGAGCGACCTTCATGGCAGCGGGCAGCTCAGCGCCCGAGCTATTCACCGCCATCTTGGGTGAGTATAATTACATACAACCTCACAAGTCCCACTAGTACCTCACTATGCCTCCCTCTCAGACAATTTCCAAAGACGACGTAACGGTCTTGGGCATGACTTCAGATGCGTGCCGGAACGAATGGATGGATTCGGTCGGGAAGTAAAAACAGCGCAAAAATATAGATGAAGATTGAGGAGGAGGTGACATGTAGGAGCCCTTTCGACTTTTCCTCGTTCCTTTTGTCTATAAGATTGCGCTGTTTTTACTTCCCAAGCATGAACCGCCAACTAGCCGAACTTTCACTTCTATGAGTGTCAAACGGAGGGGTGTTTTTAAGCGCACAGTTTTTCTCGACTTTTCACTTAATGGTCACGTGTTGCGTGTACGCGAGATGAGCGGCGGTACGTTATAGCGACGGAATGGGCGATGTGAAACGGGAGTTGTGAAACGCAGCCAAGGACGGAGAGTATGCGTTAGGTGAAGCGACGAAGCTATAAAGGAGTCAGGGATAAAGTGTCCCGCCGCGGTGGTCTAGTGGAAAAGGCACTCGACTGCTGACCCGCAGGTCGCGGGATCGAATCCCGGTTGCGGCCGCTGCATTTTCGGTGGAGGCGTAAAATGGTGTAGGCTCGTGTGCTCAGAAGAACCGCAGGTGGTCGAAATTTTCGGAGCCCTGCACTACGGCGTCTCATAATCATATGGTGGTTTCGGGATGTTAAACCCCAGTTATTAATTCTAGTGTTATTGAAATACCACGGTTCAGCCGACGCTTAATTCTAGCAACAGCAATATGGCGCCAACGAAGACGAACTACATGAAGACTGATGATGGTTCTTTACAAAATGAATGCTTACATTGTTGTTGATAAAGAGTAACCTGCTAGCACACGACAGCTTGGCGGCAACTGGGAAGAGGCGCGCGTCCTGCAGGGTAGATAACGCACGACGTCGTTGCAGGCGTCCTCATCGCCAAGGGAGACGTGGGCACCGGCACCATCGTCGGCTCGGCCGTGTTCAACGTGCTCTTCGTCATCGGACTCTGCGGACTTTGCTCCGGAAAGGTGATCCCAGACGCAAATGTGCCTTACTCTCATAACTATAAGGCTTAAAAATTGGTTTTTTGCTTGTTTGTTTGTTCTCGTACTTCAGGACGATAAGCAAAACTGAGGAAAGTGCTGGAATGCCATGTGGACACGAAATGAACGAAAACCACGATTATTACTTAATTCGGAAACTGCGCAATGGTGAAAGAACAGAACGACGGTGCGACGACTGGAATTCTGTTTGAAGAACACGAAAAAATATAACTATTTTACTCTTACTCAATTGCCGCTAAAAAATCGCAAGCAAAACCACTGCTAAAGAAATAGATAAATGATGGTGTTTTCCTTTTTCAATTTCAGATATTAGAAGATATTACTTCGCTCGAAGCATCAAGCTTACTTAAGCCTCGGTGTCAGGGAAGCCTGGTGCTGAGCGTTGTCTTTTTTTTTTTAATTTCTCGTTCTGAATGTATTTTATATTTTCCTTCCATTGCGCGATTTTAGTCCGAGAATTCGCTTCCTGGTGAATCAACTAAATGCCACCTCATAATCTAAGACATTTTGTATAAAGCTCAAGAACTAATTGAGCCCACTGCACACCGTGAAATTCAGTGACTAATGGCAAACGTGAAGCGGACGTGACGGCTGTACCGATTTCCTGGCGAATCACCGGAGTGCCCGTGCCTACGGTCTTGAATAGAGTTGTGCTCCCTTAGCATACACAGGGTCCATAGTTTCGAACATATCGAGGTATACTGAGAAAGATAACCGCCGGTCATTGAGACCAGGAGTTTTCCTGCATACGCGCTACATGCAGCATTCTAAGATTCCGTGAGAAAGAAAAACGCACGAAGGTGAGGCTTTCTGCTAGGTGGGCAGATGAGAATACAAGAACTTTTGCAACCGCAGCAAGCACAGAAGCGGATCGATTGGCGGAACATGGGAGAGGTCTCTGTCTTGCAGTGGGCGTAGTCAGACTGATGATGATGATGATGCAATAACCCTGGTTTCGAACGCTTCGGGCCGCTTTACTCTACCCGTCTCTATACAAATATCCCTTTGCAACACCCTATTCCCAAGCCCCAGCATGTACAGGGCAGCAGACCGGACACTATCTTTAAGTCAACAACGCATCAGTGGACGACGGACAGAAAGTCGGGAACAAGTGCCTCGGCCTTTCTGTCCTTATTCGTCCACTTGCGCGCTGTTGATTTAAACATACCAGTTCTGCTTGAAACCTTGCGGGCGGACACTATACCGCGGTTAACCTCCCAGCATTTAATATCCCTGTATGTTTATACCTTTGCTAATGCCTCATATAGTGAGCCATCGCTTATTATAGGAAAACCCAAGCAATGCACAGTGCTCAAGAATTTCTTCGCATGTAGGCAATGCCCACAGATCATCTCCGTGTCTGTGCAGGAGGTTCCGGTGACCTGGTGGCCCCTGTTTCGGGACTCCCTCTTCTACGCGTTCACCGTGGTCATCCTCATACTGGTGAGGCCCCCACCCTCCCTGATTTGTTTTTTGTTTGACATGACGTACAGCGCGCCGAGAAATTCGGTGACAACAATGTCTATAGCATATTTAGAGTGAGCTTCGGCGGAAAGGGAACGGGGTGCGAAGCTACACTGAGGTCAGCACCAAAGAAGTGCGATTAAAAGTGCTACACGGATATCCTCTTAGTTTATTGTCCCGTTTACATTCGCCACGGTGGCCACTCGACTACTGACCCAGGATCGAACCTCGGCCGCGGCAGGCGCATTTTCGATGGAGGCGAAAAAGCTCGCGGCCGCCCGTGTACTCAAACTTAAGGCGAACGTTAAGAGCCTCAGGTAGTCGGAATTTTCGGAGCCATCCATTATACGGCATCCCTCGTAACCAGATCGCAGTTTTGGTCTCATCTACATTACTGGGGGATTCAAAAACGAATGCTGTCAGTGCCTCACCATGAAAAACCTCGACCCGTGGTGCATATCGAACTCAGTGCAAAGGAAACAACAAAGCTGAAACATGCAGAAAACTTAGCAGTGAATGGAAAATCGTCAAGGTCGCAGTGAAACGGGAAACGTTTTCACGGCTCAGAACTAGCATTATCGCCCCGCCGCGGTGGTCTACTGGCTAAGTGACTCGGCTGCTGACCCGCAGGTCGCGGGATCGAATCCCGGCTGCGGCGGCTGCATTTCCGATGGATGCTGAAATGTTGTAGGCCCGTGTGCTCAGATTTGGGTGCACGTTAAAAAAACCACAGGTGGTCGAAATTTCCGGAGCTCTCAACTACGGCGTCTCTCATATGGTGTGTTTGGGACGTTAAACCCCACATATCAATCGACTAGCATTATCGATACTGCGAAAGCAACTATACGGACACCCTCGACGTGCTTTTGCCGCCACCTCCCAACTGATAATGACCCCGCGAACCGTGCATTCTACCGCGGGTAAAATCGCGCAAGCAGGGGGCGACGAACGCAGCCGAAGCAGAGATCGAACGAGCCGACCTATCTCCACCGTTCGGAGGCGAAATGCAATATCACCCCGATCAGGAAGCCCGCCGTCGAAGATTGAACAAACGTGAAAAGACGCAAGGGAGTGGGGGGTGTCGCTCAAGCAGCGACCTTGAACTAGGGCGGCGCGCCCGCATCCTCGGACGCCATGAACGCTCGGCTCGTATGCCCTCCTACCTGCTACGCTCTGAACAAAAAATAAGAAACGGTGTGGAAAGAGCATTTCTCCCTGCAGCGACCATATTGTCTTACACCAGCGTTTTGTAGACTTAGGTGAATTCGGATCCAAGTTGGCTGCCAGCCTCACTTTTTATAACATTACAATTTGTTGCTATCGCATTCACTGCTTCGCCCTTGCGGTGAAACTGACTTTTTTTCATTTCTTTCGCAACGCGGCTCAATCGGTGAGTTACGCTCCAGGCAGTGCGTCTAAAACGTGACCTTCGTTTTCATACAGCGAGAGAGAGAGAGAGACGACGTGCGGGATTTCGTTTAGCTATGCTGCAGAAGCTGTAATGAATGCCATAAGTTTACTGATTGAGTGAATGATTGATTCCCTGAGCCTAAGAAGTCTAGTGGCTGACTGACCGACTCATTTGATTGTATTTCAGCGATGTCGCGCCGTCTGACATACATTACGGGCCTGGTCATCGTAGCGTATACCCTTGGAAAACCCGTGCAAGGGTACAACGCTGCATCGTGCGTTCACTTCTACGGTCGATACATCGAACGCCGCACTCCTGCCTGCGAGTGTGCTTTTAACTGGCCCGCTGTCACAAGCGTCATCGGAAACGTTCGTGCCGACGAAACGGCCACGGTTTAGCCGATGCCAGACGAGACGGTGAAGAGACGTGGCTATGCAAAGAGAGCGGGGAAGAGAGGAAAGCAACGCACGTGTCTCAAAATATCCACTGCTGCTCGCTCAGCGGGGATTTTACTTGTGCTCCCGTAAAAATGGATTCGCGTTATCAAGTTTCACTGCACGACAGCCCTGAAATGCGGTGTAGCCTGCTGGCAGCGTCAAATGTTGAAGGGCGTGCGGCGACGCGTATGCACTACATGGAGCATTGCTACTCAAGCGATACTCCCTATTACCTACGCTTTGACCGTTTTCGACTACCTTTATTCGGGACAACCTACTGAGAGCAAGCCTTGTTATATCAAATAACTCATCCACTGCACAACAATAGCTACGTCCGTGAACTTTTATTAGAACAAAGTAATTCTAAAAGCAGTGTAAAGAAAAAAAAAGTTAAGATGTACTTCCTTACTTGTATTGCGCCCTGATTATACTATCTATTATAAATATGTTTTTTTTTGTTTTTGTACTTTCGTACTATTTGTGTAAAAGTCAATAATTTTCTTTTTATTTTGAAATGTGTATATCTTTATAGTAATTTGTCTTCCGACTAAAAATTCTCGTGGTGTCAGTTTTTTTACATATTTTTTATCTCGCTATGAGCGAATTTGCGTTGACTGCAATGTGTTGTTTTAAAAGTGTGTGTCTCGATTGACATCTATCCTGTTTTTGAATTTGATTTTTGTGTCCCCTGCTCCGAAAGAAGAAAGGAAATATGTCTCTTCTTGTTCCATTGCATTTGAGCAAATGCATGAGTGGAGGGATCTTAGTCAGGCAGAGGTTGTTCGTCTTTAGTCTCTTCAGCCTAGGAAATTTTTTCTCTGAATAAACAATGAATGAATGAATGAATTAATAATGAAAGCACTCGTCATTGAAGAGCAAACCACCACTATACTTCGCGAGGGACAAAATCTTTCAGGTCTCGTGCACATTCCAGAAAAATAAATCCGCTAAGGCAATAAGAATCAAACACACGTGCCTCTGATGCGACATTGGCGAAATGAATCGGTACGATTCCCGCTTTTTGCCTCAGAAGGGCTGTCCTACACATAAATTTTCACATAGCATTCAGATACGTACATATCATATTTCAAATGATCAATACAACGCATGACTATGCCATTTATTACGAGCTCTACATATTATTCGGGTTTGATTCCACTAGGCCTCAACTTTACTAGCAGACATCGCGCGAATTTCATTCTTTTTTCCTCAATTGTGCGTGACTTAAAAAAACATCTGACATTAGTAGGATTTATTTGTATCCAATTTGAGTATTCAAATATTTGAACAATAAAAATAGCTAGTGCCATGTATTGAATGTACGACACCCTAATGAAGAATCTTACAAATCCGCTAATGATCTGCCATCTATGGCTCTTAATGCCATTTTGTATCTGCAACAACTAGATACAGTCCACTCGCAAAGCGGCAATACTTGGTGTTTCAGGACGCCATTATTTTACCTTGTGGCATACACAACTGTGAAACCATATTTATGAAGTGCAGCACGAATAAACCAAAAATTGAATCATTTAACGGCCCCCTTCCTCGCTGGCCACTCATGTGCAGGTGATCTACGACGGCCAGGTCACGTGGTACGACTCCCTCTTTATGCTGCTCCTGTATGGTGTCTACATCGACATCATGAAGTGAGTGTCTTCTTTTCACTCAACTGAGATGCCACACACAAGACTGAGTCACACTCTCAACACCAAGCACGACCGCTTGTTGACTTGTTGGTACAATCGGCATTTGGGCGGCAGCTTGTAGGAATGCACTCGACAGTGGCATAGCCAAGGGCACATCGGGAAGGTTCAACACCCCCCTTTGAAAATTTTAACATTGCATCTGTATGCATACAGGCACGCATACAATTGAGTGCACAAACATACATAAAGTGTAATTACCCCATCTCACCCCTCCCCCCAAAAAGTGCTAGCTGCGCTACTAGAGCTGAATTTACGGCAATGTTCAACACTGGGGTAAACTATAGAGAATTTGGGGGGGAGGGTCTTGAGCCTTTTTGCCAGTGTCTGCCCTGGAGATTGAGCTTTAGTGCATAATATATTTGAATTACTTGACAGTTGAGTGTAGCACATTCAGCTTTTTTAAAAGGCTGATTCGTTTTTAGTGTATATATATCAAAACAAAAGTATATGAACCATGGGCAAGCATGCCAAAATCGCTGTCGAGAAGCGGGTGGTCTGGTGTTGAAAGCACTGCTTTGACGGAATAGCTGTTGAGAGAATTACTCTAATGGAATGGGTCAGAGCAATGCTGTCTAAAGCAGACCATTCATGACTATATGGCGCAGACAGCAAAAGTATATGAATAGCAATGCTCTGTATACTTATGCTCACAGGCGTATCTGCGTTCAGTACCTGTCAGCTGCATGAGAAAAAAACAAGGCCAACAAACAAGTTTTTCAGACACGTAGTGTCACCTGTCAATGCAGTTTTGGGTAGTAAAAAGCTCGACTACCTTGCACAGTTGGCTGTGCAACCAGGTGCACTGTGTGTGAAACAAAGATTGAGCTAAATATTAAGTGTGTTTGCACACTGAACATTTAGAAAAAGAGCTACGAATTTTTCTGCGCTAGTAGAACCCGTCACCGAGCCACCATGACGCGCATGTTGGTTCGCTTGCCAGAACAATGGCTAAAACAAGAGCAGACGCAAAAGCTCCACGCTCTATAGAAAACGACCTCAGTCGGCGCTACTGTTGCATTGTGAATTTTTATAGACTCAACAGACTTCAATTTCACCAATTTCCGTTGCTATAGCAAAGCAGAACAGCGAGAGCACTGAACACGGGCCGTTGCAAACGCGTAAATAAACTACTCGTGTTCTCTAGCTTTGAAAGCCCCAAGTTCTGGCATCAACTATTAAGTGCTAACACATACGTCATACAGGTAAATCACAAAATGTTGGTCGTGACTAGTGACCGGCAATCAGTCAGTTTTGCGTTCGTCTTTCCGCTACTTGCCCGAGCTATATTTACAGGAGGTCCTCGGTTTGTCTAGCATTGTATAGCGAGAAAGTAGACACGAATGTATCTCCATTTGAAGTATAGTATTTACAATTCCACCAGCATTAGACTCCCTTCGCACTACTTTCACAGCAATAGGAACAGTGCGGAAAAAAACACATGCCCAGAGTCTCTTTCTTTTATTTTATTACGGGCGACCAGGTACAACAAAGAATCCACCAATGGGTGGCCACCACGTTTGGAATCCACGAAGAGGAACAGACTTCGCTCGGCCTTACATCCGCGAGCTACGACGCCAAGAACTACAGTTCCTACGGTGAGGACCGCCTTGTTCCTTCACCAGCTGAAACTTTGCACACACGCTGTAGCATACTTATTTAATTATAGCAATTATAGGTAAAAGACACCACGTTGACACTAAGCTCAGTGTTGAATCCTGCTTTGATGCTGTAGCTTTAATGCTGAGCCAAGTCTTTATAGCAGAGCTCATTTTCAAACTTGCAGTGCCATTCAACAATGAAATCGACGATTTCACCCAGCAGAACGCTTCCAGAAACACACGACCTCTGGATGAGATGATCAGAGACAGCCGGAGAAGGTGAGCCGGCCAAGATTGCTAATCTACTTGACAGTAGCAGGTGAACCGTAATAAGAACTACAATTAGCCCTGTGAACAATTCCCAGAAATGGCGTAGAACTAACCACCTACATGCACACGATACCTTTAACCTGAGCTCCCATCAGCTACATTTCACCAAGTGGTGGTTTACAGTTTCCCCAAGGAAGGTGTTATTAAGTTATGATGGTATGATGGGAAAGAAGAAAAAGAATGGAATGACCGTACAACATTTTATCAAGTACCGCTGCTATGGTCACGATGTGGTTCACCATTTTACATACAAGTTGTGTGATAAAGTCAGCCATTCTGCACTCCTATAATAAAAATAAAATTAAAAATCGAGCCATAGGTCTGGCTTTTCCCTGACAAAGGCTACCTAAAAAGGAAGCCATACTTACCGTCAGCTTTGGCTTGCAAAGTTTAAATAGTTTAGTTGAATAACAGTACATTGAAAAAATAACAAAATAGCATAAACTAATGTAACTGCAATGTAATGTCGTATGCTAAGCAAGACTGGCAGCCAGGAGTTGACGTCTGCCCTGGATCAAAGCAAGAAAAGAGTTTTCTTCTTCTTCACACCCAAAACGTGTATGAGCCACAGCGGTTCGTTCATCGATGGTGGCATGCGTCATTACCCCCTTCCCCAAGAAGTCCGTCTGGATGCTGTACGTGAGGGCAAATAGAAAGAAGACGAAGGTTACTATGCAAGCAAAACGAATGCCGTAGCTCAAAATAACATGAAGTAAGAAGTCAAATAAGAAAAACGGGAAAGAATGAAATGAAAAGGAGAAAACAAAAAGAAGGATGTGAAGTCACCAATGAAGCCAGTCACTCCGCTGGCGAGGCACCGTGTGAAAGGTATCGTTTGAGTCTAGAAACGTGAATGACTTCAGTTTGTGGGAGGCGATGGGGACGTCTCGAGGTGCCTTCTCGAAGAACGTCATAATTGATGTCGGAGAGACGACGTACGACATTGTAAGCACAGAGCAGCTTTTTTGAATCGCCAAAACAGCGTAGCATACAGACTATCGTTTTGAAATTGCATGAGGTGCAGCACCATGTGCACAGATTGTGGGAAGGTTTACGTATCGCAGGCTGGCAGCACACAGGCAAGACACCTTTTGAAAACAAAGAGCATCGGCACTAGTCACATATAAACTGCCACTTGCACCTGTTGCACTTTTTTGCAGGCCAACCTTATACGAAGCAGCGCTGCGAATGCTTATGACCCGATACTTCCGCCCCAAAACTCGTTTCTGGGCAGCAGCAAAAAGGATCACCAATGAGGTAAAGACTGTGCCTTCTCATTCATTCTCTCTCAAATGAGCCTTTTCAACGAATGTCAAGTAGTGTGAGAGGGCTCAATTAATTTGTGTTACTGGAAAGCCACACTTATACGTTCAGTTGGCATGCCTAGCCAAACGTCAAGCTCGCAAATACAGCATGTGCTTAGCTGATTTGTGAAACATGTCCTTTTAATGCGTGTCATATGAAACCACACCTACAGGATATACGGAACTAAAAAAATATCGTGACAGAAGTTATAGAGCGTGCAGTGAGAGAACCTCTCCTCTTGATTGAGTAAACCTAAAATAAAAGGCCAAACGTTTACTATAAGATGCACTCAATACACCAAGTTAGTTGGGTTAAAGAGGTATATTTATCGTTAGGTAATTTTACTTCTATGCTTGAGTAACTGTCTCCAAAAAGAAAACTAATTGTTTCACAAAGCATCAGCGAAGCTATTTTGTCCTCGAAGATCCTTTTTCGGCAAGACAGCTTTGCCCCCACCAACACTTCTTCTTTTAAAGCTTCAAAGCTTCACTGACTTGTTTGCTAAATGTGAGCCTCGCCTTCCCAGCGAAGCACTGTGGTTTATATTATGATGCAAATTATAACACAGCTAACTCACTGCAGCCGGTGTGTTCCTTGTTCATCAATGTCGAGAGCATGCCTCATAAGCAGTGCTGGCTCCTGCAAGTAGCTGCATAAGCCAGCTCGCGTGACGAGAAACAGAAGAGCACTGTGTTGAAACAGAATGTAGAAGTTCAACTCTCACACCGCAGTGGCAGCACAGTAGCCTCACGACAAGCAGGAGCTGATCGCATTTTGGTGAGACACGAATAACCATAAGTGAGAAAAAACTTTAAGCTAGTTCATTGCAGTGTGTCAGTTCCAGTAGCTTAGAGATGAGTAGAGAAGCAAAATGCTGCTCCGAAATGCATGTGAACGTAAAGTATGAAACTAGTGGACACTTATTTATTATTACTTTAGTTATTATTATTACTATTACTTATTATTATTAGTTATTATTTTAGTTATTATTTATTATTATTAGTTGTATTATTGTTAGTTATTATATTATTATTTTTAGTTACTGCTAGCTTGCTTTGCAAACCATAAGCAGGAGTGGGTTGTACAAAAGGTACATGTTGCACAATAAAGACAAGAGACAAAAGAAATGAACTGTGAATACACCGTGAGGAACTATATATATATATATATATATATTTCAGGTGAAAATGCCGGCAAGAAAATACATGGGTCACAAAAAAATGTAGTAATGTAGTAGTAATGATGGAAAAATGACAAAAATGAAAAAAGTTACAAAAATGTACAATAGAGCATTTGCTTACACAGCGCTCAGCTCAGTAACTAAACTGATTTGTTTATTATTGTTTTTTATTATATCGTATGCTATCTGTAGTTGTTGGATAGTTCGGGAAACACCTTGAATCATAGATTAACAAGAGCGTGGACAAAGGATGATATGGCTGGGCTCTGCAGTACATATTCAGGCTGCGCATTTTATTTGCAGGTGGCACGAGGAAAAAAAAGACTGTTTGAAGAAGTTCGTTTGACAGGAATATTCAGTTAGTTTGAGTGAACGTGTAGGGCGCCAGCTACACAGTCTAATGTACAAATCCTTGTCTACTTTGATGTGTTTGCAATGAATTAGATATAGCATTCCGAGTCTCTCTCGATAACATCGTATCTCTAGAGCTTCAATGTTCTCGTCCTGTAGTAAAGCACTAAAAGATGTGTGATGATGGTACGAATTGAAAATGAATTTGACCAATTATGGTTGTATGTTCTTGACTTCTCTTGTGATTGACTGGGTGTAGGGACCCCAGAAAAGAGCAGCGTATTCTAACAATGGCTCAACGTATAAGTATTGTCGTGAGCAAAAAATCATTTCCAACCAGTACGTCGCCTGTTGTTAACATTTCTCGCAGATTTAGTGAAGTGATCCAACGCCTACTGCCACTTTCATGTTCAAAGACGTGCGCATAATGTCTCCATTTCACTCGCAGCACAAGCGCATACGCCGAGGAGAGATCCAGCACTTACCTTCCCAGACCTCCCTCGACCCCAATGACATGGTCCGACGTGGCAAGAGCTCCAGGTTGGGAATGCGTCCTGCACATTGCAAGCGGCAGCCTCGGAAAAACGGCATAAAAACTAAGCCTAACAGAAATACGAAACATTCTCTGCATGGTTGTGCAGATAGTGAATTTCAGGTTTGAAGCGAATAGTGGTTTGTTCAAATGATTAGACATTGAATAGCCTGAATAGTCTATATTGGATATTATATAAAAAAAAATGAGCATGTGTACATGACCTTATGTAACCTGCGCAATATATATATTTTTTTCTATTTGAACAAGGCATGTGCAGATGTCATTCTTCTTAATTCAAAATAAGTGGAAGCAACTTGGAATAGTAGCAGAATTTGACTTCTGATAGAATGCAAATGATAACCTGCAGATTATGTTACACTATAAAACTTACCATGCTTAGACAATGTAAGCATGTATCAAGCTTTCAGATTTAGTTAAAAAACATAAGTAGACTATGAGAGGGCAATATGTTCATTTTATCTTAAAGTCAGACTGCGCCAGTGCAGACTTTTTTGGATAAGTGTTTTCATGGCATAGAATGGCAGCCATGCTGTAAAACCATCTTTACAAGCAGGCAACATGCAGTCTAACATACGTTCATTTTCTAATGAGGCAAATAGAAAACTGCAACCAAAAATTGTATGCTAAACCTGACGTTTTGAAGTCAGACTGGCTTCTTCGAAACGTCGGGCTTCGAAACATTTGGTTTAGAATACAATTTTTTGTTGGAGTTTTCTATTTGCCTTATTTCCTTCACAATCAAGCAAATTTCTGCCACATGCTCACCTTTGAGTCTGTTTGCAAATTTTGAACACTAATTGAAATTTTTGTCAAAACGAGTTTGAACACTGTAATATTCGAAGTTTACCGATATTCACACATGCCTAATGCTTTTTCCAAGCCAATCTACAACGATCATTTTAAGTTAAGCAGGATCATTCATATACCATGTGTACCTTAACTACCATTACAGCACGACAGGCATACGTTCGCTCTATAGGATGAATACATGTGCTCTATAGCTGCCCACAGCTTATGGTCCCTCCACAAGAGATGTGAAACCATGCATAAGTACTTGCATATCACACAACTAGCCAGGTTCAATTTGTCGCAGGGGATAAATTTTCTTTATTTATTTTATTTGCTCATGGTACCTAGGCCACATATACTATAGTCCCCCCAGAAAAGTAGCTGGAGCCCCTGCCCCACCCAAATCGAAAATATCCTCAAATTCGTAATTACTGAAAAAAAAGAACAACAAACGAAAATGCGTTGGCGCTCGTGCACACCTTCGGTAGATGTTTTTCCTTAACTTCCCCATAGTGTATATGTTGAATTTCAGTAAAGGTTCACTCCATGGGTGAACCTTCAGTTAAATGAGCAAAATTCTGTACCAACTGTACCAATGGTTCATTCTGCCTTGCTTGTCAGAACGAATCATCAAATGATATTAGTGCACATACAGGTCACTGTGAAATTTCATCCGCGTAATTTTGCCCAATATTGCTGAGATTGTGCATAAAAATCTCAAAACTTGACAGTCTGACGGTGAACCATGTCCCTTTTGAAAGGAGCTTTCCAAAGCATTAGGGTGAACATGTAGGATAAATTTTATGCATTCATGCCTCACTTCTAACTCAAGAGGCTTACCATACAAATATGAGGTATGTGGAAGATGTCTGAGAAAGTTGTGCATATTGTCACGGGGTCGTGACGCTAATGAAGGCAGAGACGACTTGTCCAAAATTAAACTGTTCATTTGGCTGAACTTGTGGCCGGCAAATGGAAAAACAGATTGCAGCGATACACACTGGCACTGACAGCGGTGAACAGAGCGTCGGCCGTCGATCAACTGACAAGCGGTGTGCGTCGGCATTTATACATGTGCTGTCGCATGTTCCAGTACCATCGCTAGCAGCCACGTATGTTCCATAACAATCTGCAATGTTCGCATTGTGCACGTAATCGCATTCAAAGGTTCTTAGTTTTTCTTGGTGGTTCTTAGTTATTCGGCACGGTTTGTGCAAGACAGCCCTCAAACGTGTAGTGGGGTGATAACAAAAGTCTGCAAAGGAGTGTGGCAATATTCTGCTAACGAAGAGCTGCAGAGATATAGTAACAGAATGTGTGGTCCTCATCTCTACAACAAATAAGGAACTTCGACAGCCCGAAACAGGTGCTTCATTAGGCATAATGCCAAAAATATCAAAAAGCACACAAGGAAAAGCTTCTTGGCAGAACATTACACGAGATGGATATCCTCAAACATGCCTGCAGTGAAGAATAGAGCATCCAGCAGCGTAAAAAAACACAGATAATTTCACAACGAAATGAGCACTGCTCAGGCTCTGCAACAATTTATGAAACTCTCTGCTGATGGTACTTTAAGCAAAACTCTCCCAGTGCTGTGGAGATGTCTCATACATCATGCAAATACTGTGTTTGCCTTTTTCAGTGTTGATGTTGCCCTGTCCACAGACGCCGACTGGAAAAAAATTCCCTCACTGAGTGAGTAGGTCTCTTTAAATCTGATTATCTTTGCAGCCTTTTTCTAGAACCTTTTTTCCTATGTACAGCATTGGTGGTTTGAATTGTATTTTGATTTGCTTTGCTTGTGTTGCCACAATGAATCTGGAACGTGGGGCATTGTCAAACAGTTTTATGCAGCTTTTTCTCTCTGTTCCAACCACTTACTGTAAAACAGTATAAAGTAAATAAACTCAACTCATATACCACTTTATATTCAGTGTGACTATTACTGTGTATTGCATACGAGTTAGCTTGGGAAGGTGTTATTCCTACAGAGTTTCTATTTCAAAAGAAATATTTCGGTGAACCTTGAAAGTAAATTTACGTGACACAAGTTGCAATGTTCGTCAATAATGGCATCTCTTCCATGTGTTTCGAGTAACTACAGAGGTGTGTAAACATTGATATTTTACAACTGACAGAAATAACTGAAATAACTGATGACTGAAATCATCAAATACAGTTCAGTTACAATATTTTACAAATACTGAAATATCACTCAGATCATGAAGTTAATAATTTTTGTTTTGAAAGCACAAGTGGAGAGTCGCTAACAAATCAACATATTCATTGCATGTGCAGAATTCTTCAGTGAGTGCAAACAATAATTTTATAAGGTCTGAAGGTTCGCCTGCCTGACTGCTACAGCCCAGTAAACTTCCAAGCCTGTCACATTTTATACCTGGACTACACATTGTGAGGCAATCAAACTTGCAGTACTTTTGCAGTAATTTCACATTTATGCAGACATAGCTCACATTTGGAAATGTAAATCAATTTTTTGAGAATTAATTGTATCTACTAACATGGCCTATGTGATTCGATATTTGCACACTCCTAGACCTCACATGGCTCCACTAACCAAGCTACCTGCTACGCTACATCATGACTGCACCAGTTATATTGCAGTAGAATCTTGTTGAGTGGAAATAAATTGCTGCTTGAATAAAACAACCTTCTCAAATTTAGTTGGTTTCGTAATCAGCTGCTGCACCTATACACATCTTTCTCTGTAGACGAAAGCTCTGGGTGGTATGGAACATGCATGTTTTCACAGACCCTTAAGCTGTAACTTAAGGAGGTCGTGCCATATGTATATCTCATTGTTGCCGTACTCTGTCACAGAGGATGGCCCCTGGGCACTGTTGAAGTGGGTGGTGCAGGCGCCCCTGTTGGCAACACTGCACTACACGGTGCCGGACTGCCGGACCGCAACCGGCAAACGCCTGTTCCTGCTCAGCTTCTTCATGTCCATATTCTGGACGGCAGCCTTCTCCTACGTCATGGTCTGGATGGTGGGTCTCTCCAAACGGGACAGTGGCTGCTACTCATGAGCTGTCTCTCATTAGCAGTTCCCCAATCCAAACTGTATGTTCTCGTGCATAACCCGCACACAAATACAGCAAAATCAGAGCCAAATTCGGGATGCGAGTTACACTGATATTTCATCATGCAAGGTGGCTTCATGGCAATGCTATGCCACAATGCAAAAAAAGGTAGCTTCACAACAATGCAAAGCTGGTGAAATTATCATGTTGGCTGAACCTGATCATTGGCCAGGACAGGGAAGTGTTCTAAAGCGAGTGAAAATAAAGCATGCACAGTCTCTGAGCATGGGGTCACTCTACTGAATCAGTGGGGTCGCTTCTACTGAAGGGTAAAATTAAATTTGCACTGCTGAAATGTACGGGGTAATACACAGAGATCGTCTTTGACTTTTCCCCAGGTTATGGCAGAAGATGCAGGCTATACGTGGTAAAATATGATAGTCATATCGAAAAAAAAAAGACACACATTTAAGCTTTATTTTACAGCCAATTAAGGTCTTTCTTTCTTGCTTAGTACAATCCTTCTTTAGATCCACTTTTCGCTGCACTCTCATGTTTCGTTTAGGTCACATACTACCTCAGTTTTCAGATAGAAAACTGAGGTAGAATATTTTATCAGTCACTAAGTTACAAAATAAAAGGCATGCTTCAAACCTCATTAATTTTATGGAGACGCATAGTTTCGGATAATTACTTTTTCACACACAACGCCTTACAGAATGGTTGCATTTTGGCATTCTTGTTTTTCTCGAGATTTGAAAAAAACTTCGGTGTGCTTGTGCAACAGAAGCAGAACAGAATCAACAGTCTAAACTAATGTCACTGTTATTAAACATGTTCTTTTGTTATCCGCTCTTAAACCTAACAAAATAATACAGAGAGAATTGGAAATTTATAAACATCTTGACTTTGCTAGAGACTCCGTAACGCAATTTTGTCCTGATGCTAGTTGTCTATAGCACTGGTACCAAAGCACTCAAATGAAGTTTTGTCATAGCAAGCTGGCAGGGCACACAAAAAGTAAAAAGGCTAGCACAACTTTTACTGAGGTGTTTCTTTTTTCTAAGAGCACATTACTTTCATGAACTTAGCTGTCTGAGGATCACACCATTATATAACCAACTTTGACGGTTTTCATTTCATACTACCATAAGTCCTTTGGCTACCAATCAAGTGACCCAGAAACAATTTTTAGCAAGGCTGCCACCACACAATAGCCCTCTGGTGACAGCCTTCTTTTCGTTCCAGCAATAACAATAAACAATGTGGCACTGCCATCAAGTTCGAGTATGGTTGTGCAGCAAAGCGTGAAAACCCGTGCGCAGGTGACCCTCATAGGCTACACGATGGGGATCCCGGACACGATAATGGGCATCACATTCTTGGCAGCAGGCACCAGCATACCCGACGCATATGCTAGCCTGCTGGTCTCCCGACAAGGTGTGTGCATCATCAACTAAATCCCTGGCAATTTTAAAAGTCGCAGCTTCAACCCCGGTGCGCATGCACATGAGTGTGATTTCAGGCACATGGAACAATGCTGGTTAGGTGAGCAATATTAAATGTTCACAAAACCATGGTGGCTTGGGAGCTCTGTGCATTGCACTGCTAAGCAGGAGAAATCCTGTTTGATTTCCGGTCATGGTGGCCGCATTTAGAAGTGGAGAAAATGTAAAAAAAAGAATGGGTGCTCAGATTAAGATACAGATTAAGGAACTGTTTGGGCAGGCCCTGTTATTGTTTATTACTTTAGGTGAATGCAATCGGCGTACCTGTCAGCTGTCTCCAAAAGCAGCTGATGTCTGCAATTATTGATGTCATACTGCAAGAAATTTCCAGGGCAGCTGTTCATTATTTGCAGAAAGTGTGGACACTTGATTTATTGTTTTCAGAAGATTTGCACACTTGATATCGGCGCCTGGTGATACTCATGCGATCGCTTATTCGCTCGAAGCTCGTGTTTTCTGCTGGGGCCTTGTATTTTATTTCTTCTAGGTTGCGCCATTTGGTACAAGCAACACCGCAGATGGCCTATGGACGGGACGTTTTTACCAATATTCTATATACTGACAAAGAAAAAGGCTATTCGTGTTAACTATTTGGTGGAATCTCACGATACAGCTCGAAGAATTCTCGAATGCCTGTATATGTAAGCCAAGATCGAAACCAAAATACGGACGGTTGTTTCACACACGCGCTTTCGATCCCTACCGAGCACCGATCACGATCTAATTTGTAGACCGTGATTGGCACCCTTCCGTATATTACAAATGTGAGCTGATGGAGATCTAGCTGTCATTTTTCACACTTGAAGGCGACCACCGAGTAAACAATGTTCAGATTAGCTGTCGTTTGACTGAAACGTCCTTGTAATCGATGTATTTATCCCGACCACATCTGCTGCGACACCTGGCAGGGGGACACACTAATTTTGACAGGCGCCTCGAGGTTGCGTGTGACCCGCGGGCGTTTTTTGCCGAGTAGTCGTGTGCGTCATGCTTGAGAGGCACAGGGGCAACGCCGGAAGATCAGCGAGAACTAGAGGACCGCTTCCGGCCTTGAAGTGGTAAGAGTTTACTGAGAACCGACAGAGGAACAGATCCGTTGCATTTGAGAGGCACGGCGTACCTTTCCCTGCTTTGGGAGCAGCTTCCGCTGGTTTCGTGCCAGACTCCGCCGCTCCGAGTTGCGTTTCTCTCTGCATTGTCGCAGATCTTGCTCTTGTCGCACAGATGTAGCCAAACAAAACCAGGACAGCCGGGCGATTCCTTTCCGTTCTTTCTTTTTAGCTTGTCGGCCTTGAACAAACTTCAGGCGAAGCTGTCGGACCGATGTAAACACGCAAGACGAACTTTTTTTTTTCACGCACCAAATGTTACTAACTGGATTGGATGAGCTCGGCTCACAAAAACTTGCGACAAACTTTGCGTAGTTTCGGTTTTGTTTTAGGCGTTGTTTTACACGTAGCGCTCGTGTCTTTCGTGTCCTTCTTGTCTCTGTGTCGTCGTTTTGTTCTCGCGCTATAACTATCGTCGTTGCATAGAGATTTTGGTACAAGTGATGTCCTTTCTTGATAGAGTTGATAAAGATCTCGCTCACTCACGTTTAGATTTCGTGCGGAAGTTGCTTGTAGCGTTATGTTTACAAGTCGAGTATTGGGCTTTGTTGAGATTCTCTATTTCCCTGAGAATCACGAGAATGATCTGGCGGGCATCGACATGTTTTTCACAAAGCGCTTGAAGGGTGGCATTTCACATCGGCAAGCGCCTTCGCCCCTCACCCCTTAGCTCATAAAAAAATTCTGGCAACGGGCGTCACTATGAAGACTGTCACATTAAGGTCCCTAAATAAACAAGTTTTGGAAACTTAATCATAGGCCCAGAATACATAGAACTTCAGGCTGATGTATGCTACTTACAAGTGTCCCTTACGCCTCCAATGAAGCTAACTGGTTGGTGATTGACTAACTCAAAAATGCTCTTTCATCAACAGATGGGGTCGTGTACCTTGCAGCCTCGATAACTGACTGCAATTGGTTCTAGATGCATATAGTATATACTTCTGGAATAAACCTTACGTAACTCAAGCTTCCAAGCTTTCATTACAGTCACAGAGTTATATTAATTTTGGTGTGACTCTGTCAATGTACAGGCGTGAGCACGCGGGATCGCATGACCGAAAGCATCGACGCGCTATCTGGCGACGAGACGCCTGCTGCGGAGCGCATATATAAGCGTCCTGTTTTATCAATTGGCCTCTCACGTCACTCTCTCCGACGAGCCACACCAAACACCAATAGCCAAAACGCCACCTGGGTGTCACTGTCTTTGCTCCATCGAATTTGTGCCGTTTTTTTTTTTTTTTTTAAGAAGTAGATGCGACGGTGCCAGTTCAAGTACCGGGATCGCGTAGTAATTTATGCCGGTCAATTCATAAGCGTAGCCAGCCTCGCGAAACCCGATGAAGCCAAGCAGACAAAATAAAATTTTCTCAGCACAGTTTGCCTTTTGTCGCGTTAGGCCAAGTTGAACCTAAATGAGCCAAGTTGAGTGATTGTAAGTGTAGTCAAACCTAATCCATCCTAGTTGAGCGCGGTATCGCCAAGTCGGGTGTAAAAGCCCAGTCCAGATTGCTGTTTTATTGCGATAGCAATTATATGGAAGCTCTCTGCTGGATGTCATGCACCGCATATGTATATGTATCTATATATATAAAAACGCAAGAAAAAAAAAACACCCAGAAAAAAGCTCCTCGGCGCGCGTAATCGAACGTGGGATCCCTGTGCCGTGAAAGCGAGGCGTTAACTACTGAGCGACGCCCGCCGAAGAACGTTCTTCACCACCGTTCAAACAGCAAGCTATTTATATCTACCACTTACCACTGCTGTGTTTTCGGCATTGCCAGAAAGATGGCGCAATGAGCGCACGTCGCCACATTGCGCCCGCTCTAATCTCCTACGCGTACATGCGCCTACTTTGCCCGGCTTAGGATGGATGGATGGATGGATATGGCTGTACCCTTTATATCGGGCGGTAGTTTGCGCCACCAAGCCGTAATACCTAATGAACCAAGAACTATATATATATTTTTTTCCTTAAAAAGTGAGTTTGAGGATTCGTACTTTGCAGTGAAGAGTTTAATTTTCACTCGTGCCTTGACTTTAGCCACCAATCAGATAACCTCCTTCTGGTTAAGTTTACCCGCTTAAAGTTTATTTTGCCCTCCCGGTCCCTAAACCCCAGTGCTTTGAAAAACTCTGCGCCATCATTCTGAACTATAGGGTGAAGCCCTTTACAGAACATTATCAAGTGTTCGGCAGTTTCTTCTTCCTCTCCACACGCACTGCATACTGTGTCTACCCCTTCGTATTTGGCCCGATATGTCTTGGTTCGCAGTACTCCCGTCCTGGCCTCAAACAGTAGAGAACTACCCCGAGTATTATCATAGATCCTTTCCTTGGCAATTTCCTGCTTAAAAGTTCGATAGATCTCTAGTGCGGACTTCTTAATCATGCCCATTCTCCACATGTCAGTCTCCGTTTCCTTCACTTTCTTCTTAACCGATAGTTCTTTTTGGTTTGGCCACCTGCTGTATTCTAAGTATTTACCAGTCAACTTCCTGGTTCACTTCCTCCATTTTGTATCGACATTCTTCATGTACAAGTAGCTGAAAACCTTCCTAGCCCAACGCTCTTCTCCCATTTCTCTCAATCGTTTCTCAAATTTTATCTTGCTGCTAGCTTCCCTGCCCTCAAATGATGTCCATCCCATATCACCTTGTACTCCCTGATTTGGTGTATTCCCGTGAGCTCCTAAAGCAAGCCTACCTATTCCACGTTGCTTAATTTCTAATCTTGCTTGAACTTCTGATCTCATGCACAAGACCGCATTGCCGAACGTCAGCCCAGGAACCATGACCCCTTTCCATATTCCTCTCACAACATCATACCTATTGTAATTCCACAGTGCCCTATTTTTCATGACTGCTGCATTCCTGTTACCTTTAGTCGTCACGTATATTTCGTGTTCCCTCAGATACTCGGTCCCATTGCTTATCCATACTCCCAGATATTTGTATTTATCTGTTATCTCTAGCGTGACCTCCTGTATTCTAAGCTCACTACCTTCGTTGTCATTGAAAATCATGACTGCTGATTTTTCCTTACTGAATCTAAAATCTAACCTATCTCCCTCATTACCGCAGATGTCCATCAATCTCTGCAAATCTTCCTTGTTGTTGGCCATTAGCACTATATCATCTGCGTACATTAATGCTGGTAGTGCCTGATCAATAAGTTTTTCTTGTTTGACTAAAGAGAGGTTAAAGCCCAGTCCACTTCCCTCTAATTTTGCCTCTAATCCTTGTAGGTACATCATGAATGCCCCCGTTTACCTCTGCAGGCTTGGATACCTGTTTTTCCCACTTTATAACTACCTTGTTACCTTTATAGATACCCTTTAAAAGATTAGTGACTACATGTTCCACGCCTAGTGTGTCCAGTATTCCCCACAATTCCTCTTGAACCACGCTATCGTACGCTCCCTTGATATCCAAAAATGCTAGCCACAGGGGCCTGTGTTCCTTTTCTGCTATTTCGATGCACTGCGTTAGTGAGAACAGATTGTCTTCCAACCTCCTGTGTTTCCGAAACCCATTCTGCAGTTCCCCCAGCACCCCCTCATCCTCTATCCACGCCTGCAGTCTTTCCTTTATAATTTGCATCGCCAGCCTGTAGAGCACTGATGTCACTGCTATGGGACGATAGTTGTTTATGTCAGCTTTGTCCTTCTTTCCTTTATAGATCATGCTCATCCTGCTAAGTTCCCAATGCATTGGGAACTTCACCATCGATTATTATTTTGCTCACTGCCTCTCTCAAAGCCTGCTTAGACTTTGGACCTAATGTCTTTATCAGCCTAATTGGAATGCCATCTGGGCCTGTTGATGTACTACCAGGAACCCTTTTCTCAGCCCTTTCCCACTCTTGTTGTGAAAATGGAGCCATTGCACCACTTGATTCGTCCTTGTCTATTGTGGTGCATAAAGTACTTCTTTGTTGAAATTTTTCTGTCACCCTTGTTCTTATATATTCAATAGCTTCGTCCCCTTCTAGCCTAGCACCTTGGGCTGTAGTTATAAAACTCTGCTCTAGGCTCGTCTCATTTCTTAGGGAGTTTAGATGGTTCCAAAATTTCGCAGCTGCCTTTATATCTTTTTATGTACTTCTGCCAGCCACTGAGCTCCCTTCCTTCTAATCTTTTCATTGATCAGAAGGGATGCATCCCTTCTACAGCTTAGAAAGGTTGCCCATTTTCTTTCAACATCATCTGTCGGTTCACCCCGCTGCTTAGCATGTCTGTGTTCCCTAGAGGCTTCCTGACGTTTTGCTATGGCTCTCTTAACTTCCTCATCCCACCAACTTTTGGGTTTGTGTCTTCTTTTCCGGGGTGATTTGTCACGCCTCTTAGCAAGCTCTAGCTCAAAGAGTCTAATTAGATTCGTGTATGTCCACACTGTCTTATTATCCTCCGTGATTACTTTCTCAATTTGTTTAGTGGCTATTTCAATTTGCCTTTCTGAATAAAAATTTTCCTGTAGTTGCTCATCTTGTCTCCTTCCCACTTTCACTGCTCTTCCAAAACTTAGCTTGATACGTTTGTGATCGCTACCCAGACTTCTGGAGCCACCTTCATCTATGTGCATTCCCCTGAGCTTATCATACATCCTATGTGACATCAGTGCATAATCTATCGTCGACTGAAGCCTTCCTACCTCCCATGTTATTTGCCCTTCACACTTCTCAGTACTGTTGCAAATGATCAAATCAAGCCTTTCACACATATCCATGATCATTTTGCCTGTCGGGTCGGTATACCCATCTATATCTTCCATGTGCGCATTCATGTCTCCTAGTATAATTATCTCGCACTCTCTTCCTAACTCCTGAATGTCCTTTGATATACACTCTACCATTGCCTGGTTTTCCTCTCTGGCCTTTGCTCCCGTCCACAAGTACACGAAACCAAGGAGTGTCATTTGACCTGCCACTTTCCCTTTTAGCCATAAATGTTCCTTGCACTCCTGCTTGACCCTTTGCCAGGGTGTACTTTTATGAATGAATGCCCCAATACCACCCCCCTTTCTGCTGCCTTCTGTTCTATTACAATATTCCCACGCGTAGTCCGGATTGTTCGGAGGTTGTTCCATGTCCCTGAGATGTGTTTCTACAAAACCGTATACCATCGGCCTCTCTTCCCTTAGCTGTTCTTCTATCTCTTCCCACTTCAGCCTGTTCCTACCACCCTGCATGTTAATATACCCTATGTCTGAATTGGCTCGGCGCTCGTGGCTACGTCTATTTATGCCCCGGGCTCTACCTATCTTAGATATTGGTGCCACTTTGGAATCGTATCTGTCCATACCACCTGTCGAAGAGTCTCCCTGGTTGTTTTCCTCGTTACTAGCTATCCTGCACCCCGAAGGGCTCGCTTGCCCCCCAAAAAAGCTACTGCGCGTCCTGCAAGTCGCCAACCCACCTCATGACCTAGCCGCCCATCGAAGTGAATTCTGTCTCGTTGAAAACCCCCCCACCTATGCACCTCTCTGTTTATTTCCACCACCTCAAAGCCTTTCTCTCGACTCATCCACCATATCTCTTGGTTTGCGTTGACCACTGCTCTTTGCAGGTTGCTATCACGCACCGGTACCTCCGGTATCGTGCATATAACTACCTGTACCTTAGGAGAAGTGGCGCGCATGTCATCGACGCCTTTCGCCAGTGTGGCTGCTAGTCCTTCTGCATCTTCATTGAGGACATCGTTTAAACCGCCTGAAATTATCACGAGGTTTCGTCTATCAGCTGTCGTTTTGAGCTTTGCGCTCGCTTGCCTCATGACTGCTTCCAGTTTGCGTCCTGGGAACGCCCCTACCGCAACCCTCTTGTCACCTCTTACCCTCTCTTTGATGGCTTCTGTGCATCGATTTAAATTCGAGTCCCCGGCTATTATCACATGCTGTGACTTTTCAGCTGGAGCGTTCTGCACCTGGGGGCTACTTGCACCTGTGACGCCGGCTGCTTTGTTCCCTTCCTGCCCCACCACTACCTCGCTGAAGCTGGGCCTTGCGACAGTTGAACCGGCTAAACCTGTTTTTTCCAAACTTGCTTGCTTCTCCTCCTCCACCGTTCTGGTTGCCGGTTCCCTACTGTTCTCTCGGTAGGTCGCTTCTTTGTTCAGCTTCACTAGCGCTTCCTCGGCGGACTTCAGTCTTTATCCCATTGCCTTCGTTTTCTCTTGCTCTGTCGCCACCGCAGTCTCGAGCTCGGCGATTCTCCTCAGCAGTTCACTCTGGGCAACCATCATTTTCTCCATTTTTTCCTTGACCTCACATTGCCTACAATTCGCGTCAGCCTCTTCTCCATCCGCTTCTACGCTTGGGTCCACTTTCAAACCCACTCCACATCCTGAACACTTTACAGTCTTTTTAACCATACCTTTCTGACACCAATTGTCCCTATACTCAATAATTACTAAACTCGAACCCTGCACTTCGAAAAAAAAAATTCTAAGCTCTACTACAAAAATTTGCGTGTTCAATGTACGCGCACCTCCCCCACGGGGTGGCAAAAAAAACAACAAAAAATTTCAAACACACACACCCGCACTAACTAATAAATACCTGGTGTCTGGCCCCCGAAAAAGCCGTACCACAAAATAAGTACTACGAAGATTTCAACCACTGCCTTATAATTATAAAGACAAGCTCAAAACATGCAAAAACACTTATCTGCGCAGTCGATCCGGAGCGCTCAAAAAACACGTCCATCCACCTTGACAGCCTGAACTGAACTGAACTTAGAGAAGAGGAGCGACGCTCCCTCTCGCGCCCATATCTCGCGGTGGCGAGGAGGGCAGGATCGTATGCCTTGGCTGGCCACGGGCTTTACGTAGAACGATTCTGCTATAGTTACCGGGCGCACAAAGGTCACTGCAACCATTGCAGTCTCCGTTCGCGAAAGGCGCACGCTTTTCAGACTCGGCGAAGTAACAAATGAGACGCTTATTCGCATGCATCCGTACCTGTGAGTACGTTTCGTGCGTAATTTGTGCGCGAGAAACGCGGGGCACGTCTCGATCTGCTTTCCATTCTGCGCGTGACCTTTCAAATTGTTGCTATCACGTTCATTGGTTCACCTTTGCGGCGAAGCTGTGACTTTTTTATGTAATAAAGATTCGATGCGCCCAGATTGGTCGAGAAAAGTAGACGTACAGCCAAATCGATGTATAGTTAATCATTCTATCATTTCATTTAGCCGAGTAAAACCAGCCCACACAAGGCGAACCTTACAGTGGCCAATTCATCCAAGTCGGCTTCACCATATGCCTAGAAGCGCCAAACCCTGGAAAATACTAATTACTTATAATGGACAGTATACCTGTGAAGCTAATTTATGTCTAAATACTGTTAGTTAGGACACATACCAGTTAAGGTATATTAATTAGTGTGATATCCAATCACACACGAAACAAACTGGAGTTTCATGTGGTATAATTAGGCTATAACTATGCATATGACACTAGAAACACGCTGGAGTTTCACATGGTATAATTAGACTATAATTATGCATAACTAAGCTAAGGCAGCACCAAGGTAACCATATAAAAATCTTATTGTGGTTGATCATGACATCGTCAAACTAGTCTGATTACATTTAGGTGTAATAAAACAATGTCTTATGAAATGCAATAAAGTAATTGGTTCAATTTTTGTTAGCTCAAAGTGTCCAAGCTGAGGAAGATACTAATTACTATATAATCACCGAGTCTAATCACTAAGTTAAGATTCTAATGAGCCCCAAAACTAACTTTAATTATGTCTTCATACTTATTGTGCTTCTTTCATCATAACTATAGACTCATTTAAGTTCAACTTGGCCTAACGCAACAAAGAAAAGCTGAGCTGAGAAAACTTAATTTTATGTGTTTGGCTTTATTAGGTTTTGGGAGGCTGGCTACGCTGGATTAGGCTACATTTTGCGAGCCCGGCGTTGGAACCGGCGGTGTTGCAGCCGCTAGGTCAAAAAAGAAAAATAACTGCACAAGTTTGTTGGAGCCACAACAGCGACACCCAGTTGTCGTTTTGGCTACGAGCTTGTTGGACAGAGCGACGTGAGACGCCAACTGATACGACGTGGTGTGCATGCGCACCCCAGCAGCCCTCTCATTGCCAGATAGCGCATCGATGACTTCAGCCATGCGATCTTGTGGTCTGCACACTTATGCTCATGCCTGTACATGTATAGTTCTTCCAAAGCCCGCCTCCCACCTGCCTACACCTCTGCTAAGGACAAATGCTGTGCACAACACTAAAACAAACACAATTTTTAAGTACGTCACATATCATAAAAGTTTTTTTTTTTTCCTTTCATAAGGCTGATGTCAATACCATTTAAATTGATCTGTCTATGAATCAGCTATACTTGGTCGTAATGGGTAACTGCCTTTTATTCGTCTTTTTCTTTTTTCCAGGTCAAGGGGACATGGCTATAGCTAACAGTATTGGAAGCAATGTCTTCGACATTCTAATAGGTTTAGCACTGCCATGGCTGATCCAGACGGGGATGGTGGAGCCTGGTTCACTTGTAAGTTCTGTGCCAACATGTCCGGCAATGCCACATGTGTTCATGCACCTGTGAAATTGGTGAACTAAACTTTGCAAAACTTCCTGTGCAGGCTTACATCAACAGTGGGGGCCTGGTGTGGTCAGTCGTCTTGCTATTCCTTACCATAATCATCACAGTGAGTTCAATTTCCTCCCGATTATAGCAGACTATTTACATAGGTCAAGCCCTGGCATCAACAGCAGATGCAGTGCGATACACTTACAACGATATTGAGAAAGGCAGAAAATTAGAACCAATTATCGTTATATCCTGGTGCTGCAACAGCATCAAAGATATTCTCCTTTTCCAGAAAACTAATATTTTTTATCAGTAAGGCCTCTGAAGGGAAAATGATGCAGGTGTCGCCGGCATTTTTTGTGGGCAGGTCTTTCGTTATCTTGCAACCCATGTCATGTCTGTGCCTGTGTGTATAACTCTTGTGAAAGGTTGAATACACTTGCAAACCTCACAGTTCCATTAAATTAGAACAATGTTTGATTCTATGTATCTACTAGTACAGCTGGAGTAGTTCCTAACTTTTGAGAAAGAAATGATGGTGAAGCTGAAAACTATGAAGAAACAAACGTGAAAGAAATTAAAAAAGTAATGCGAACATGACGACTGCTGCGCAGATCTACACCATCCACCGGAGTCACTGGCTGCTGACCAAGAAGCTGGGCGTGTTTCTCCTGGTGGTGTATGTTATCTTCCTCATCATCTGCAGTGCGGTTGAGTTCAACCTGCTGGGATACGTGAACCCACCCATGTGCATCGAATGAGACACAGCCACTTCGCAACATCTCCAAAGGCGTCTACAGTGGCAGGCTGTTCTAGTTGGCCCGGTCGCAGGAAGTGATTCTTGGTACCGAATACAAACACACAAATATACACTTCAAAGCTGGGCTAATTGTGGGTGGCATAGAGCAAAGCAGGGCAATGCCAGGTGGACAATGATGAGCATTTGCGGCCATTGCTGGGCACTGCACTGGGTTATGTTTGGGGATGACGAAATACTGCTGGAACCATGCTTGACATTCAGGACAGGAGCACCTGATATCTAGGCCACATCTGTATCACCGGTATGAAGTATGTGTATGGGATACACAGTTGCCACCTTCATTATGATAAAGTTATGCCTACAGGAACTGGGCTGCCAACAGCAGATGAAGTTGTTGAACTTATATTTGAGTACGACCGAAAGTAAGAAAAGCAATGTCATTTATACATCCAGAAAATGCACCATTGTTTGTGTGGTTGCAATAATCAGGTGTAACCTACATCAAAAGCTGTATGCCACATGTATCGCTACTTTATAATACATAGCAGAAATTAGTAACAAAACAATGTGGCACAATTAAGAGCATTAAAAGTGTGGCTTAATCAGGCTATAGTGCTTGATGCACTTCAAACAAAGAAGTCATTCAATACTGTGATGTAATGTTTTAGCTTTTTGTCCAAGAGCATATAGTGCACAGCAACCATCAAAATATAAAAAATAAAAAAAGAAAAGAACACAATGATGGTCAACAAAATTAAGCAAGTGGAAATTCTAGCAGAAAAGGAATGTTGATGTTTATTGATGAGGAAGTTTGAAAGTATATTTTTATCATTCAAAACTGACATGCTCTGTGACAAGCAATATAGCTACAGCACTGAAACTGTGGTGATATGTTTGTATTTAACCGTAGCTCTAAGAACCAATTAGGTAGCCAGAAAGATGTGAGTACAGACGAGATATAAGCAAGAGCTGCACTGTAAGCTTTAACGAATGCCCTGTCGTGCAACTTTGTTCTCATCATTGTCTTCATAGCATGCTAACTGTTCAAGAAGGAAAACCCACCTTAAATGCTGTTCAGTGTGAGTTCAGAAGGTAGAAGGTTTGGGCGTGTTGGTTATTCATCCCTGTTCACAAAACAGAGCACACATGAACACATGGGACAGAAAGTGATCAGGACCTGATCTCTGTCTGTGCCCTGTGTTTATGTACACTCTGTTTTTATAAAGAACAGTGCACGTGCTCAAGCACCATATCATTTTTCATTCAACAAGAATTAATATAAAGTTCTTCATCTGAAGATTCGCTCTGCATTAGGCTTTAAGAAACATTGGCTGAACTCGTGATTTAAAAAGAAACAGGGGGTAGTCGATTAAGCGTACTGTCACATTCGACCACACTGTACAACATTTAGTCATGTTGCTTACGTAGTTCATGAAGCTGTTAGCCGACTCCCGTGACTGCGAGACGGTGTCCTTAGAACTAATTAACTCTCTTGGGAGCCTCATCAAAGTTGTGTGCTTGACTTCCAGTAATTTATATTGTTCTGTGGCATTGATACATGGTGCTTGCATCAGCTGCTGTGCATAAGCCACTAAGAGCAAAGGTTGTGTCTTTCAGTCATGGATAGCATTAGTCTTTAGGAAGTCTCAACTGCGTGTGGGAAGTCCAGTTTAATTTGAAACACTCTGCCATCGTTCGGTCGTAAAGACTGAGATATTCTGACTTCAGGTGTTCGTAGCATATGCCATGCATTTTGAAATGGGCAGTGCGAAGGCAAGGACAAAAGATAGAAGTAATACACATTGCACAGTGCTGTCTCAAACTAACTTCATTATAAGACTTTATTCGCGCTGCCCATTTCAAAATGCGCAACCAAATCCAACTTACCCAAACGTCAGTTTTTGTGTAGCATATACGTACTGTTTCGTGGTTAGTGCATTGCTGTTTCAAGGTGATAACTGGCACATTTCCAGGAGTAATGTAAAGTTAAGTAATAACATCATATACACTTTGAGAAAGGTCGTATTCAAGGAGTCTTTCTGTGACACAACAATAATTGTGATCAACGGGAACATTGGCAGAGGTGTATGGGACTGGGTGCATTGGTCAAGCATATTTTAAGGTGCAAAGTGCCACATTGACAACGGGCTAAAAGGGGAGTCATTTGGCACTTCGCGTGTGCGGTGACTCTTTCTTTTGTTTGTTGTCATTGTTGCACCTTGCACTTGAAAATAGACATGCAGTGAGATGCATTTGTTTTGCAGTGTACTTAAAGTACGCCCACAACAATGATGAGCTCACATGCACTTCCTGACATTATCACCGGCACAAGTACAACTGGGTCATGTGCAACGTGTTCGCTGTCAGCGTGACACGACATTCCTGCAAGAGAATGGTGAGCACCGAGTTTTCGAGTGAGAATGTACAAGCGAACCATACCACGATTACTGCTGTGTGAGGAAAAGACATCCCAAATATGCTTTTCCTTAGAGTGTGAGGTGCATTCAAGATGATTAGCAATATAATTAGGCTGCCCTAAACAGAAAGCCCTAAAGTCAAGATAACTACGAAACAATGCAGAGACACAAAAGGAGGGACACATTGTTCTAATTTATTTTAGACGATTGCCTGCTCTCTGCCGTGGCATCATGTTGTAGCTGTGGAAGTAAATGATGTGAAAGTGATCACAGTAGAGATAGCCAGTGGTACGCATCAATGCTACAAGATAGACATGTTTTTACACAACAAGCTCCTTCATTACATCGCTTCAGGGAAATCATGCAGACATTGGCCGTCTAGCATTCCGGATTATTCAGTAGCGAGGATTGAAGTGACATTTAGCACAAGGCAAGGACCGCAGTCTCTGCACTGGCAAAGTTTGCCGAGTGCCAAGACGAGAAGGCGCACTTCCGAGGTGCGCTGTCCTAGTCCAATGACCAAGAAGCGTGAGTACCATGTCTGTAAGAACTCGTGTTGATGGAACATCTATGCTCTGACATTGCTGTAACTTTGGGAACACCGATTCAGTATGTCGCTATAATATACTCAATTCAGATAGCAGACGAGAGAAACCTCAGTTCATGATGCGCTCGTACGCACGCTCTTCAGAAAGCCGCATAAAGTGATCCAGTGGAGGTTTACACGATTACCTGCAGCTTCATTAAATGGAGTGCTTGTCTAAAAGCTGTGTTCACTCAGGAAGGCCTGTAGGTGCAGCCATGCGTTGATTGTTGTCCTTTGAATGCCAAGTGTGGGACTTGCCTGTACAGTGAGCGCTCAATACAAACTGCCACAATCTATTGGGACTTGCCAGATTGTATCTGAATGTTGCAATGAGCCAGTGGTGCGTACCAGAGGTACACAGCACTGTAGGTCAGTGCTTTGAAAGGGTGCATAGGAAAAAGGTACAAAGTCAATGGTACATCCTGTCTCGTTGAAAACAAATGTTTCTCTCATAACCTTTGGCATTCTATGCGATAAGCATAAGGATGCCAAAGGGCTGTTGTGAGACCATGCCACGCATTGGTGAACGTAAAAGAGTGACGAAGCGTATAGTTAAACAAGCTCCCCACTTCTTAAGATTCAATGAAGTTAGTACCAGTGATCATTCGAAAAATTTGTTGGCTGTTACAGAGGGAGATAATTTATTAGAAGGCAGATAGGCCAGTCTGAGCTCGTTTGCTCTAGCCTGCTACTCTGAAAAGAGTAAGAGAGACAGGGAGGAAAATTGGAATTGATGGGCTGGTACAGAGCAAAACTACACAATGTGCCTGTACAAAAAGCCACTAACACACAGCGATACATTTAGGCCATACATTTATTACACGTACTTCCAGCCAAATGCTTTTGTGCATAAAGTAACAGTCGTACTTGAAGGTTCGATGAAAAAATGTACAACTTACTACCTATGTACTATCAAATGGCCGGCTGTGAGAGCAATAGTTAAAAAGAATAATGTAAAGATGGTCTTTTCCAAAAGCCTCTTTCAATTTTTAAACCTTGTGCCCATATAGGTTCGAGCTGCTGCTTTTGAAGAGAAAATTTATCTCACAATGTTCGTGCAATGTCATCGTGAAACCGTGATTTTTGTCTCCCGAGCCACAACAAAGTCTTTCACTCTTCTTTGGGATCTAACCCAACCTACCAAACATGCTTCCAGAAGGCACGCCCACCGCGTGTTAGAGCTGTTGAACCTCGTATGTATTGCCTTGTGTGAAAAAGATTTTGAACACCCATAATGTAAGTGTTATATAGATATATATATATATACATACATAGTGGTACTATTCATATGTGCTTGTTGATTTCAGTCAAATGTGCTTTTTATTTCAGCTCAGTGATGAATTATAGATTCTAAGGGTCTTGTTTACTGTTGCCCAGTGCTTTAGTTTTTTTTTTTGTCTTGAAGATTGAACGGCTTGTGGACTGGAAAATGAGCGTGCATGTTCGTGTATGTTGAGCTAGGTGTTGTGTTGTTCTTGTATTAGTGTCTTTCAACCCAGGAACCTGCGATGGTCTTTAGTAGTTGATCCTCTCAGTGAAAAGCAAGAAAATGTCAAAGGCAGCATTGCAATATGCATGCTACAAAGGATTGTGAACACAGCAGCCCATTTGCTGTGAAATGTTATTGCATTCCACCCGTTCACTTGAGAGTTGTCTTTCACTTGTATTTACAACAACGACACATATAATGCGTAAAAAGCCTAGAGATGAATTTACCAGGCGTGAAATACCTGTTTCGGTATTGATTCTATATGATGATAAAATTCAGAGAAATTGCGCACAGAACATTTTATTTGTTGGTAAACTCACTCGTGGCTGACAATGTTTGTACAATCAGTAGGCAGCTGCACAATAAGTAGCACAAGGATGAAAGGACGAACTTTTATTCCCCAGTTTCATAGCTAGACAAATGGCTGCATAGAATTTACGTCGCCTTCATTTGTGCAAATCATTTTAAATGTGGACAAGTCTACTCAGGTAATGTGCGTTGTGCAAATCGCTTTCGTTCCTACTTTCTCAACCTGAAGGAACATTGATTACCTAGGGTGCCAAAGCATGGTGCTTAATATAACGTCTTGACGCTGGCACAATTTGACTTCAAGGTGTGCCAGAAGAGGCATATGTACAATCAAACTAATGTCGGCAATCGTTCAAACAAACTTTTTAATCAATGACACAAACTATATATATATATATATATATATATATACATAAGCCAGAGAGGGCTTGGTGACATCTGCTGCTAATAGGTACCAAGTAATACCCCTGTCACATGGTAACGAATGGCATTGAGCAGACCTAATGTCATTTTACTTGCATGTTGTCACATGACGAAAACAAGTATAATTTTGAAATTATGATCATGACCTTAGCCCTCCTGAGCCGCGACTATGGGAGAAATTAAAATATACTGAAATTTGCATGTAACCCGTGCGCATCCACAGAAATAATGTTTATGGGCAAAACAATGCTCCTAGAATGTTAACGCGGCCGTTTTACACAACTTGCTACAGCTGCATGACACACTCAAAAACCAACATTGCCAAGATGTGGCCAGGCATGAGTACAGTGAAATGAAGCGGGGCGCATCAATTAATTTCCTGGCTGCAAAAATGAGACGGTGGCAGCCATTTTGTGTGGTAGTTACCACCTTGCTCACCACAATACGTGCGGACAGACGATCATCGTCGGTGATACAGGTAACAGTGACAACAAAGCACAAACGAAACCACGGCCGGCGTCAGCTTTCTTTTGGAAACTTTCGCACTTGCTATCATGTCATCAAACCAGTAATAAGTTTACATAGTAAGGAATAAGATATTTACAAATTGTAGAAGTTACCTATACGTAAGTTAACAGCAATCTCCCTAAAAGTCCCTGGTGTCGAGACTACTCATTCAGTCTAGAATTGAATGCATGTCCCAAGAACTCATTCGACAGAAAGTGTCATTTTCATCAAATGGCATTAGTGGCAAACAAATGACATTGCAAAGGAATTACATTGCAAAGGAATTACATTCGCTTCAAATGGCATTAAATTCCCTGTGTAACAGGGGTATAAAAAATCGAATCTGAAAAGGCTTTCCTGAACTAGGTAGCCAATCATGCTGACAATGATGAAATCATGCAATCATTAAGACTTTGTGAGTCAGTCGATCAGCAAGTGTGATCGCAAAACATAAAAAGGCATGCTGAATCTGAACAATCAAGACAACAATGTCAGCCCTATTTCCTTGTTTTGTTGCTTAATTAACCTAAATAAAGTGACAAAAGACAGACATTGCTGTTATTTTAATGCATGCTCCCCCCTGATCCCGTGTGCTGACAACAATCGTGATTTAAAAAAAAAAATCTTTCGTAACAGTTGAACAATCTTTCTCATACGTCGCATTCGTGACTGTACCAAATCAAAACCTTCACAATCGTTTTTGAAGACTTAACATATGTACAATAACGTATGCGGGTTCCCAATCAATTTGCAACGCTACGTTGCAACTGTCATTGTAGAGACTATCAGTGTGTGTTGTGAAGCATGCAAAGCTCTGCAAGAAGCACATGCTTTACTCGTTTGTCTGGTCACAAAGCCCCCGCCCCCCCAAAAAAAGCAATATGTATAAATATATATAAACCACACAAAACCTCCCAATGTTGTGTGGTATGCAGGTACAGCGCAAACTTCGAAAGTGTGAAAGCAAGCGTTGGTTGCATCTGCTTTGTGCCATCGGCAAATTCGTGGCTCCGTAATATACGTCATGCGTATGCAACTTTGTGCTGTTGCATGCCGTGTGCAGAACAAGTATGGTGTGGTGGTAACCTCCAAATCTTCTTTGTCTTCGAGTACTAAATACAGCTCGTATGTTGCTCCTGTTTCACTTTGTCGTGCATTTGTGCGGTGGTGGTGTAAATTTTGAAGAGTTCATATACTGGACGTGTTGTTGTTGCTTTACAAATGATGTTGTAAATGTGCTTCATCGAAAAATGCTTTGTGCTTGAACTTGTTGAACTTTGCGTGTTGTTGTGAATGCTATGATGACACTGCTGTTTAGACTCTGACCTGTTGCAGTTTTGATCAGGTAAGCGTGAAATTTAATGCATAATTTAGGAAATGTAATTGCATAGCTATGTGACCACGTTATGCGTGCTGTTAAGAGACAAAGTAGCTCTACAGTTGATGAAGAGTATGTGTGCGTTTATTACCGCAATTATCGTGTAGGACATAGCGTTTAAGTTGCCATTTGTGCACACGACAGTGGCACTAGCATTGCGTAGCACTTAAATGTACGTTCACTACTGCCCTGAGATGTGCAGAAATTTTGGAGTGATGAAGTGGTGTCATTCTGAGAACAGCACTTAATCCGCTGCCGACATGCGCACCTGGTGCTTTGAGGTGACAATTTGCGCGATACCGAACCGCAGTCGAGAAGAATGTTTTGATTGGTGACCCTGTGTGAAATTATGGGTGATGGGTGATAGACGGGGCTTTCATTGTGTACGTTAGTCACGTTACATTCGAATTGAGATGCTTACAGCTATTATTAAAGAGCGATGCCAGCTACAGAGAAACAGCCTCCACACAATGAGGCGATGACAAACTTGGCTGCGATAGGGGAATGTAAAGTGGGCTTTTGCGTCGATTTTATCCCACGGAAATGGGTGATGTGCAATGCTTACGCCAGTATTTACACCACATATCTTTTTTATAAACTCATTTTTTCCACTGAAACCGGGAAACTAAGAACTCTTTAGCAGTTTCGCTAACTTGTAAGCCTACAGTATTTTTCGTGCACAGATTGACAATTGCTCCAGGGCAGTGCTGCAAAACAGTGGTCCTTTAGCTGATGAGCCGCTCACCCATTCATAGATGTCATATAGACAACATTACTTTAGATGGACGTGTGCAGCCATCTTGGGCTTTTATACAACCGATTTCTCAGTTTCGTATGTCATGACTGTGGGTCACGAAACAAGTGTTCTTATGCATGTGAGTCTAGTGCATTGCCTGTCAGTTATGGGTACACAATATGGTAGTGTTAGCGGCCCAAGATGGTGCCACTACAAAACACATAGTAAAAGTCTATATAAACCCTGACAATTGTGAGGCAGCATTGTAGAAGCCTCAGCACTCGTAATTGTGCAACCCAGTCTTTCATTTACAGTGCCAAGAAGAACCCTCCAATTTTCGTGCTCCGTAACCCTCAGAGTGAACCAAGCAAAGTTTTTCTCGTGTGTTCTTTTGAAGTATTGTGAAGCAGCACGCAATTTCACACGAAGTGTTTCACCACGAAGCTGCAAACCTTACTCTGACGGCATTTCCCCAAAAGTGCATCGACGCTGCCGTCAAAGCTTGTCGTAAAGCAAACTCCAATGGCTACCAAAGCGCAGCATTTCCCGCTCCAAGTTGGGCAAGTTCTTTCCCACAGCTTCACTTAAAATGGATCATAGTTTTGGTCTCTTCGTGGGAGATAAACTCACTGCACATTAATTTGATATCACACGCTCCACCATCAAGGCATGGATTAAACTGGTAACGCTAGGGTGCGCAAGGTCAATTTTTTCTCAACGTCTACTTATTTGCAGCGCAGAAGAGTAACATTTTGTTGTGAAAAACTTTGAAGCCAAACAAGTGCATTCATATTACTGTAGCAACAGACATTGCGATGCTGATGAATAAAGGTGCTAAAGCAATAGGAGAAAGGAAACTAAAAAACATTACAAAAAAAAAAGACATTTCTGAGAGAAATAGTCTACCAGTGTTCGTGGTGAAACACTTTGAGCAACAAAGTGATAGAAACATGGGCTTTCAGAGCAACATAAAAAAAAGGCTGCCTGCCAATGTAGCAGTGTAGTTGACAGGTAGTGTGGTCGAGCTAGAGTACGGCGATGTCTTTCAAGTCACGCTTACACTACCCAGAGGCGAGAGCTTGTTCTTGAGGTGGATCCAACCTGTTTAGTGGTGTAAGGCTGTTTGTTCTGGTGCTGGTTTCGTTTAGAGAAACTGCCCGCATTGTGAATACACTGATGGTGCTTCGAAGATGTGTTTCTCGTCTTTCGATACAATCTCTCATCAGCCCGAGCCGCTGTCCCCACGTGACCGTGACGTTGTCCTGATGATACGTCGGTTTGCCAATGTTTGTCTCTTGAAGGAACTCAGCCTTCTAGAACCAACTTTCCTAACTGACAAACATTTTTACGCATCAGAATGAGCGTGAGCAAGCAAAACATGTGTGTTGGCTTGCAGCAGTTTTCAGAAATATTTGCAGCACGTGTCGTTCTTCCCCAAAGGACAGTTTTGCTCCTTTCAACGGAAGGTATTTCCCCTCGAGGGCAATGCTGAACTTCTGAAAGAAAGCGAACTTTCAAAGAAAAAGATATATTTGACTGAGGTATCTTGCAGTGCTTGATGGTGTATATCAATAGACTGGCTCGATTTCACAAGCCGCATGTAGAAAATCTTTGAAATGTCTGTGTCTTGCTTTTTTTATTGTTTGAAATGTACAAACAAAATGTCTAAATAAAAACAAATGGATTGCATCCACTCTTTTGTTTTCAAACAAAGTTTTGTTTACTCTCAATAAAGCTAGCAGTGTTCACATGCTCTGCAAAGAGGTGTACATCATACACACAACATGGTGAGCACAACTTAAAAGAAGACACCACTCAATGATCCACACATTTCAGTAACTGCATGGTATGGAAGATTATTAGCATCTCAACATGATGTTCTGTGACCTAAGCAGAAATGTCACATATACACATCATAACTTGATAAGCCGCTGTTTCGCCATCAAGGAGAAGCAGTAGTGAATGCAATGGCAACAAATTAGAATTTTGTATGCAGTAAGGCTAGCAGCCAACCCTTTTGAATCTAACCTCGCATAACTCAACAAAACACTGGTTTAAGCGAATACGGCTGCTTCGGAGAATGAAATGGTCTTTGTGCTGTCAGTCCTCTAAACGCAAAGTAAGCGTTGAGAGGAAAGCAAGTATGCAAGCTGTCTTCTTATCTGTGTTTTGATAGTGTATGCGCCAGCTCTCACGATGGCGCCCCTGTGAGCCAAGTTCGCAGTTGCTGCTTGAGCCACACATCCTCCCTTCCACGCTACTTCGCTGAAGAAAGATGGCTTCCTGCTTGATCTGACATCAACTGCAGGCTTTGCACGCAAGGCGATGTTATTGCGTGCACATGAACACAACCAGTTCATTTAACTACTACTTCATCCAGTGTTCGTCCTCAGTGCTTGAAGTGATTCTAATCACACATAGAACATTCGATACGGGGCCATCTTATCGATTTATACTTAATACGGAACATGACAGCAACGGCCAAAACCTGCAGAGTGTATCCCACATAATTGCTGCCACAATAAGAAAGGGCAGGGTTCTACCTAACATTGCATAATTATTGTCATTCTGCTGGTGTTGGAGATTGGCCTGTGCCACCAGGGGGCAAGTAACCCACGCCGCATTGCTTTGCAGTTTTAATAACTTTGCCAATATCACTACTGCTAGAACCAGGGTCAATGGCGACCTGTCGCTCTACCAATAACATCATGCGAGACGTTTCTGCAGAGGTCATGTGACTGCGAGCTCACAAGTGGCATTTATTTTTTGCACAATGCAAATTAGCCATGGAATACTTTGCCTTAACCCTGTAGAACTTGTTAGACTGTCACGTCCGTAGTATTTGAATGAATATTACAGTAATATTTATAATGACGTTTATAATGACCCTCGGAAGTGCTGTGGGCCCTTTTATTGGACAGTGCAGTCTGGACCCATTCCTCGGTCTAGGAATCTGGAAAAATTATACTTTATAATCAGCCTTCCCGGGCTCCTTTCGCAGCTGTTTACAGCCGGTGTCTGTAACCACATCGCACGAAATTGGGAAAAAAACTTAGTGCCATAGACACAGTGGGGTTCGAACCCGGGTCTACTGGGTGCCAGCCCAATATTCTACCACCGAGCCACTCTGGTGCTTGGGACTTTTAGGCAGGCTTTATGTCGGGAAAGCAAGCGCGTTAATACGACACATAAAGCATTTCAAAACAGCGAAAGAACAACCAGTCATCGCATAATGCGAATAGCGTAACGAGTGGGTCGTTCAATGCTTCAACCCATAACAAAAGCTTGTTCTTGTTCACCTATTAACTGTGGGGCATACCCACATCAGGCATGATTTGTCATCGTCATCAGCGCCTGCATGAACAATCGCACAAAATTTTTCGCAATAGTTTAGCGGATACCACACTTCTCAGAAGAATGACGAAAAATAGCATAGTGAATGCTGGCATACTACCAAAAAAATTTTAATAATAATGCCATAGTCCCCACGCGGGAGACCTAAGGCCCAATCAGCGAAAGCTCAATTGGACTTCTAATAAAGTTGTTACCAACCAACAAATACTATAGTGGGTATAAAGCAAGTGTGCTTGCCGTAGTTACCCAATGAGTGTTAAGAAAAGGCTCTGAAAAGCTGCTCTTCCAGCTTTGGCTGTGACTGTGCTGTGCCTTACGCGCAGGCCAGTCGTTTGTTTGATGGAGAGCTTTGGGCCAGGGAACTTGCCATGTACATGATGTAAATAAATACTCAGTTATGTTCAACTTCCTGCTGCCTTGACACCTTCGTCCCTGATCTCCGGTGACTGCAAAGGCCGGTCGCGACACCACCCACCAAAAAGTGCTCAACCGTATTCTTTGTTATCAGCCGCAGCATCAACAAAGTGCAAATAGTAGTAATGCCTCACAGATGTCGCAGGTACCTAGTTTCTTTGCAGAATGACGAATAATGTCATAGTGGGTGCTTTCCTACTTCATTAAAAAATATGATTTGTGGTGTAGTGCATACCTTGCAAGTGTATTTCTATTACTTGCCCGACAGTTTACAACGGTCTCTAGGAAAGCTGTTGTTCAAGCTCCCACAGTCACTGTGCTGCGTATTCCCCGCAGGCCTGGTGTCTTTTCCTCAATTTGCATAGAAACTTGGACTAAACTACAAATGCTTGAAACGTGTTACACTTTGCCATCTGCCCACGGCTTACACTGTGAGTGAACATGAAGCGTTACATTTTCCCGGTGCATGTTTCGACATAAGAAATGCAAGTGTAATCCAAGAATTCGCTCGAGTAGGTAAGACACCAAACTGATCCCCGATATTAAGCTGCATTGTGGCATGGACCCTTGTCTAATAGAAATAACGGGAAAGTTGCAGCGGTGGCTTAGTAGACCAGTAACCCAAACAGAACCATTCGTAGCGTGGTAATTTAAAAAATCCTCCATTAGGGAACAAACATTTGGGGCAGTGCAAGAAAACAAGGCGAACTCCCACAAGAGAAGCCAAGGCAATACGCATCGGGGCGTATTAACGAGTGTGCAGATGCTCAGAACTAATCTCAGGCAACAGATTGCATAGTCACACAAGACAGCATCTGGATTTTTTCCGCATTTATTTTCAAAGTTCAACAAAATGACCCATCCACACTGCACTAAGCGCACACTCAAGAAAAATTAACAAAAAAGGCAGGATCAACTCGCACTTCCATAGTCCCAATGCCAGTTCAAGTTCCACTGCAATAACATCCATCACTGAAAATGCAGCGTCCTTTCAAGCTGGGCTGCTTTTCTCAAGGGCAACACTGTTGTAAAAGACACAGAAATCAAAGTCTTTGTTTAGCATGTGTGGACCCAAACACAACACACTTGAAGTGTTTACGACACTTGGCACGGCATGATGCGAATGCACAAATTTGACCAATGCCCAAAAACGCCTAACGAAACGGTGTGCGCAACATAAAGCACGTTTGCGCGACAAGAATGTGAGCATTTCGCGCATTCTGTACTACTGTCAGGGCTGTGGTGATGTGATGCACAGCAAGCTGCAATGCAATATGACTCAACCATTGACAAAGCACCCTGAGCTATACATCATAGGTATACAGGGAGCAAGGCTGAGTAGTGTACTTCTTTGAATGTAACATGAGAAATCAACATGGCTAATCGATACAGCAACGGCGATTCCACTGATAGTGCAAGTATATATATATATATATATATATATATATATATATATATGCATTAGGCTTTCCACACTTTTGTCTACACTGCTGAACTTTGCTTACAAGAAGTGCATATTGTGATCAGTCTTTGGTTGAACAAACATGGAAGCAACACTGTGTCCCAAGGAATGCACAAAGGACACATGCACGTATGCGAATAACAAAACAAAGACTTCACAGTTGCTCGGAAACTGTGCACCAGCAAGACCTCTGCCGTGTCACCTACATTAGGGCCAATTGTTCCATATTTTGAATGTGACATCCCTCACTGTACCAATCCTGCATGCCTTCTCACTGGATTGTCTCATAAAACCACAGGAAAGTTAACTCAAGTCATCCAACTGAAAAGACGGGAATGCCACCAAAAGTATGGTACTCTTTCAAAAAAGTTGCTGCAAGGCAGCAAAGATTAATACCACTTCGTGTTTCCAACCCGGGGAAAAAAAGTGAGAGGGAAAGGGGCAAGAATAGAGAAGGACCCACACTTGGCACTAACAAGCGTGCTCAGTTGGTGATGCGCGTAATCCTGACTGACGGCACCCCCGTTGGGTTCTGTTGCCTTGGCGGAGGTGGAGCCAGGTAACCACCGGGTGGAGGTGGAGGCGGATATGACATCACGGGCCCAGCTCCCGTGTACGGAGGCATGGAGGTGGGCGGAGGCGGGGGGTGGTGGTATGGTGGTGGGGGAGGAGCACTCGCATACGATGGGGGCGGATGGGGCGGTGGTGGCTGATCAGGTCTGTGGTGGTAGTAAGGCGGTGGCGGCTGGGCTGTGGGGGGCGGAGGTGGTGGCGGATGAGTGGGCGGCGGATGATTCGTCGGAGGCAGCGGCGGAGGTGGGGGCGGGATGCTGTAGTTGTGAGGCATCGGTGCCGGCGGCGGGTAGCCGCCCCTGTAGGCTGCCTCGGGGGGTGGCAGACTGTCGCCCATGGGGGGTGGCAGCTCGCGGTGCATTGGGGGTGGCTGCCCGACGTCCACGGTCATGGGCTTGCTGGTGCAGCTGTCGATGGTGGGGATGGGCATACCTGCCATGGGGGGTGCAGTGGGCGGCGGCGGTGCGGATGACGTTGACGGCACCGCCACTGCAACGGGCGCCGCCGCCACTAGGTCTGGCGGTGCCTGCTGAAGCTGTGGTGCCGGCAGCTGGATGGGTGGCGCCCCCGCAGGAGACTTTGGTGGGGAAGGCTGCAACAGCAAAGGAGGAAGGAAAGCTCACATAAATATTGTGCTGCTCTCATGATGGCGAGAAATGATACAAAAGAATAATGAATATTTGCAGAGCGTGTGCTAACACATGCAACGCTACAGAGAGCCATGAAATGTCGGCATGGGGGCTTGTTATGCGAAGAACCAAGAACAAAAGCAGAAAGGCTCCAATACACTTTTTAGTCAAGTGCAGCGCCAGGTCAAACCGAGAAAGAAGCACCTCCTTTCTCAAGCAAGTTCATGCTCACGAGGACTTGCAGCCAAAAATCGACCAAGATGGCTGAAAATAAATATCGTTTGCAATGTTTGAGCCTCGTTTTTGCCAGTGAACTTAATGCCATTTTAAACAGTTAGGTTCTGAAGGTTCGAGAACTGCTAAGAGGGACCACGGAAGACTACGGGAGGCTACGAGTGAACTGAACACTATGGAGAGGCTGAAACCGAAACGGTTGTTGAGACGATCTCTCAACACTAGGATTATCAACAAGGCAAGAGCTCTTCTAGGCGATGCGACAGCCACCATCGACCAGCTGAACACCATTTACAGACTTTTGAAGGCGAACAACAATGACCTGAACCAAATTAACAGGGAGTTGGAAAGCCACATACCAGATGAAGATTTTGAGGAAAAGTACACCATCCTTGAATACGAAGACAATGCTAACAGCGTCATGACTGAGCTTCTTAGCAAGCGCGACCGTATTGTTGCCACGTCATCAGCACCGGAGCTTCAGACTTTGTCAGTAGCAAGTACCTCTGGAGCCTCTGGTGACAAGCTGCCAAGCTTGCCATCGCCCTATTTGCCGGTGACCTGTGCAGTGGAACGACTTTTGGGAGCTATTCAGCCAGATGGTTCACCAGAACGGAAGCCTCACGGCAACGAACAAGTTCAACTACGTGAGGTTCTTCCTAAGGGGCGATGCAGCTTCAGCTATTGTGGGCCTGCCAACCACAAAATCGTGCTATAAGGACGTCATCAACATACTCCAAAAACACTTCGGTGACAATATGAGACTCGAGCAGCAGTACTTCTCCAGGCTTTGCACGTTGCCTTTAGTCTGTTCAAATGACCTGTCGGTTCTTCGCAAACTCTACGACCAGATCATCATCAACATCAGAGGACTGGAGACACGTTCTTTTCGGCAATTCTGTGTGACATATCCCTGCAAACTTCACCACAAGACCTCGTTCTACAGTACCATCGGTCATGCACCAATCGGGCGACGAGCTGCAGTAGTAATGAAGCCTTATCACGGAGCTGGAACGCCTATTAAGTTTCCTGTCTATCGAAGTGGAGAGCTTAAAGAAGAGCGAGTTCGCTAACCATCGTGGAAAAGACAGTCATAATGAGAATGCGCAGAACAAATCACGACAGCCTCGTAGGTCAAAACTCACGTCTTCAGTTCTCCATAACAACACAAAGAAGGTACCTGAGAACTGTATGCTTTGCAAATCAAGCCAAGGTTCCACGAAAAAGTGCTCGCTGGATCTCCCGCTACCAGAAAAGAAGCACATTCTAGAAAAAGACATGAGATTCTTTCGATGCTTGACGAAAGGTCACAGGGCGTGTGATTGCAGGCGCAAGATTACGTGCTCTACCTGTCAAGGGCGTCATGCGACAAGCGTGTGTGATCAGCAGAACTTAACCCAGAAGACACGAAAAACTGGCACGACAAATACCAGAATACGGGCAAGTAAGCCAAGCACCAACACGACTGTATGTGAATCTCCAAGAAAGAATCGACATAACCTTGAGAATTTATCTGCGAGTGTACTTCAGACATTTCGGGCTTGGGCCGCAACATGTTACATGTCGGTATGTCAAAGGTGTCGTAAACGGAGGAAGTCAGCGAACAATAGTCACAGAGAGGCTATCAAAGCAGCTGAAGTTGCCATGTGTGGGATCCATCATCATTGCGCTCAACACCTTCGCAAGCAAGCCAAGTCAAGCAGCGCAAAGATGATGTGTTGTGCAGCTCTGTTTGAAGAGTCAGTTTTCACACACTGAAGTTGCCTTAGAAGCCATAGAAATCCTGCACATATGCCAAGATATCGAAGCAAGTACAACAAGTTCACTATTCGTCACGGAAATACAGAGAGCTGGAAAAAACATCGCTGATCAACTACTATACGGATCCGTTGTCGGGGAAAAAGGCATATAAGTGTTCTCGTCGGTTCCGACCAAATGTGGACGGTGATGACAGGAGAGGTCACTTGATGCGCAGGCAATGAGACACTTATTGCTATGAACTCGGACCAGAGGTGGATGTTTCAAGGCAACCCCAGCATGACATTGCATGTTACAAGCTGAGGGATTATGGTCTACGTACCATACAACCAGTGTACAAGAGAGCGATGAATTCCTTCGTTGTTTTGGAAACTCGAGAGCGTAGAAATAACAGACGCTATTGACAGTGAGAGCGAGCTCATTTCAGTACTCAAGCAATTTGAACAGAACGTTTGCCTTAGGAGCGGAAGATGCGAGGTGGCGCTGCCCTGGAAAGAAGACGTGGAGCTCTCAGACAACAAGCAAGTGGCTATGAGAAGACTTTGGAAACTTCTCTCCCGACTGTCGAATAAGCAAGGACTCTTGGAGACGTATGACACCACCATATGGGAGTACCTATGAGCGAGACATGCATAAGCTGTCGACGGGCCACCCCTGGATTTGTTGAACGTATATTATATGTCGCATAGAGAAGTGATCCGAGAGCACGCACTCACTACAAAGGTCCGAATTGTTTTCAACGCTTCCTCTCCCGCAAAAGGGTGCTTTTCATTGAATGAATGCCTGAAAAAGGGTGAAAACCTGTACCAAGATCTCGTGAAAGTACAGTCGAACCCGGTATACCGAACTCGCCAAAAAACGTTTATTAGTTCAATATATGGCATAATTCGATATAGGCCCGGTATAGGATTTGACACAAAGGCACATAATAAATTATAAGAAAAGTAGTTTATTAATATGGCGGCTCACTTGCAACACCTACTGTGGTACAAAATAGTCACGCATTTTCTTCTGGGCTAACGACTCCACTGCCGGCGACAGCATGCACGCCTCCACGTTGTCCAACGAGTCGGGAGTAGCTGAGGCCGCAACCTTCCACATTCACGCAATAGCGCCGGACCAACGCAAGTGCACTTATCACCTCGGAGGATGTAGGCAATGGGCCATCGTCAATTTCCTTATTGCTGTCGCTTTGGCTCATCGTCGGCACGATGTCTAGAGTAGTCCTCATCTTGCAGCTGACCCGTGATGGCGACATCATCGTCCGCACTAACGAACTCGTCCAATGTCGATCCGTCGACAGCACCCAGGAACACGTGTAAACGGCCGCTTCAACATCTTCGTACACAGCAGTGCGCACACGATGGGCGCCACGGGCACCTGGCCTTTTGTCCTACTTGGCCCTGATGTCTGCCTTGTTCTTCAGGATAGTACTCAAGGTGCTCCTAGGAATGTTGTACGCGGGGGCGACGTCGGACTTCTTTTCACCGAGCTTGACCCGATTTATGATTTCGAGTTTCGCGGCGAACGGCAAATTCTGCCTCTTTGCGCAAGCTATGATGACAGCGCGCCAACACAGTTCACAGAGCAACAGGGAACACCACCAGCACAGACCACATTGGATGAGGACTCGAGGAAACAGGCAGCTGCAGGCACTCAAGCGTAAAGAAAGAAAAAATGGCGCTCACTTCTACCGCCTCCGCGCCTCGGAGAAAGCACAACGGCCTCTGATTGACTGTAAGCGCTGCGAGCGGGCCAGGATTATTTCTTGCAGGGTGGTGTTCGCCCGTGCACAACCGGGTCTAACCAACTTCTTCTAGGGTGGCGCTGGCAGTTTTTCCCGCCACCGCGAGGGAAAGCCAACTTGCTGGGGCACTTTTGAGGCAGATGGAGTTCGATATATAAGTTGTTGTTGCTATTTTCGTTCAATAAAACAGTAACTTTTGCTATATATTCTCAATGTCAATTTACCTTGTTTAGGAATTGTTCAATATATTGGATAATTTGATATAAACGGGTTCAAAATGGTCAGGCTCGACTGTATTATTACACTTCAGAACACACCGTATAGCTCTTCTTGCCGACATTGAAAAGACATTCCTTCAAATTTCAGTCACTGAGAAAGACAGAGATGCCTTTAAGTTCTTCTGGTTTCGAGAAAAGGAAGCATTGCATTTCTCAAAGGAAAATATTCAAGAGTGGAGAATGACAAGAGTGCAATTCGTAGCGACGTGCAGTCCCTACCTATTGACGGCAACTATACACCACCATCTGAGGAACGTACCTTCAAGCAAAACCAGAACCACAAGCCTTCTCAGTGAATCATTTTACATGGATCTAGTGGCTGGAGCAGAGTCAGACGAAGAAGCACTTCAAATTTGCAGAAAAGCCAAAGAGATTACGCAACAAGCAGGAATGACACTGAGGAAATGAACGTCTGACCCAGATCGATTGATTATCGCATTACAGCACGAGGAACAAACTGCAGGCAAGGAACTGGCTATCCTCCATGAAACAAGTGTGAAAGTACCTGGAATCGCATGGAATCCCCACACACGGATAATTTCACATTTTTTTTGAAAGCCCTTCTCGAATTTATGAAAGAAAAATGTGATACCAAGCGGTTCTTTCTTCAAGCTTCTTCCACAATATTCGACCCATGGGATTTGTTGCGCCATTCGCCATTGTTATAAAGATCTTTCAGAAGTTATGGACACGTGAAATAGCATGGGATGAGAAGCTGCCTCAGGATCTTCAGGATGAGTGGCGTGAATGGGTGCATCAACTACCGCTTTTGCAAAAAGTTTCCATGCTGCATTATCTTGGCAGCATTGCCAAATACCCCCCCCCCCCTCCCTTCTCCCCCCAGAGCTACAGGAGCATTATTTTGCGACGCAAGCCCATCAGCATACGGTGCAGCGCTTTGTTTCGTACCGAGCTGTTCAGCGAAGCCCGAGTTGCTGATCGCAAAAGCCCATGTGGCATCTATCAAGACAATGACACTACCATGGCTAGAGCTTCTAGGAGCCTTGATTGGAGCATGGCTACTGCACTATGTGTCAAGTGCACTCACAGGCTTCGAGATCCACTGTACAATGTGGTCGGATTCCACAATAACACTTTCATGGATAAAAGGCCACATGACGAACTGGAAGCAATTTGTGTCAGAGTGAAAGAGATCAGGGAAAAAACAGATTCTTCTATGTGGAGGTATTGCCATGGTCATGTGAATTCAGCCGACCTGCCCACACGTGGAGTTTCTATGGAGAAATTATTATCCAGTAGTATGTGGCAACATGGACCAGACTGGCTATGCGAATCACAAGACCGATGGCCTCAACAACCGTCAGAAGCTATCAGCACCGACGACAGGATTTCTTCTGAAATGATTGCCGTGCGCGTTGCGATATCCAGTGAGACAACGTCGGCGCCAGCCCTGAACATAAACTGTTACAGCAAAATTGAAAGGCTACTCAGGGTTACGGCCTGGGTATTCAGATTCATGCAGGGTTTTTTCTTGCGACCTGGAATCGATCGAGGAAGAGGTTGGTGCAGAATTCAGTGGCTGTGATGAGCTGTGCAATGAAGTGCGCGAGAAAATTGGCTGCGTGAGCGATACTGAAGACAGCAAGATCGCCTTTGAGCAGTATACACTCTACGAGGTGGGCGTACCCGTTACCAGAACGCCAATATCACTGAGATGGCTGTGAACGACACAGATGACCATGCAGACGAGGAAGAGCCTCGAGAAGTGGCTACAATGACAGAAACGCGTAACTTGCTGTGCCTTCTCCACAACAAGGTCGAATGCAGCAGTGGCAACCGACGGCTAATGCGATGTGTTGAGCAATGGACAACGCCTTTCTCGGACCGAATACGAATGCGATACAGGCGAGCATCATGCAGTTTTTTTATCCTCGGTAAAAAAATTGTTTTCCCTGCAAATTGCTGAGCTCTTTCATGCAGAGGAGCTGTTCCTGGCAGCACTAGCTTTTCTTTAAGAGCGACCTGAGCAAACATTTTCGCCGTTTTGCTTAACTCCAAATACCGCTTATCCCAAAAGCTTTTTTTGAATTTGATGGCTTCGAGTTAACGAGAGATTACTGTACTATTGCACGTCTGACATTGAAAAAATTGGCTTCCAAACACATCTTTTGATGCTCATGGAATGAGCACTTTTTGAACTATTCCAGACGCTGGCGAAAGAGGACGAAAGTGCCACATAAATGGCACCCAAAAACGAAATTTGAGGGAACTTCGCGACTGCACACTTTACTATGGCAAGACAACTTAAGCATCTCTTAAGAAAGCTCCAAAAGTACGTTCTGTATGGAATGTTTTGCAGCAAAGCTGTCCTTGTGGACTCAGTGTCAGTGTAGGTACCATTCGCCATCCATGGTGTTCATTGTAACAGGGAGTGTGATCAGGGGGAATGGAGGAGTCTCGTCTGAGGGGGAGGAAAAGAAGTCGAGATTGATCGTGAAAAGGTGCGACTTAAAGAGGGTAGTTATTAAAGAAATGTGTAAAACAAAATTTTCACGAAACAAACCCTTTTCACGAAACACAAGTGGTGTAAGCACTGAGCTATGCACCCACACTAGCACAACATGAATATTGATATGAAAGCAAGTGAGGAGTGGCCATGAGGACCACTTGCCTACCTCCTCTCGTAGCGATTTGCGCACAAAACTGGGGGGGGGGGGGGGGGTCATTCTTGCTCCGACAGTCAGACGAACCTTGATCAATCTTGTGTGATTTCCCATAAACCTCTTGTGACGTTTCGTTCTGTTCTGTACCAGAATACGTACAAAATGGCCCCCTAAATAGACAGTTTGAGAATAGCTCGCCTGTGACTTCCAATACCATAAGCCATAGCTTACCGGCAAGCCGCAGCAGGGTTTACTGGCCCCCAAGTGCCATGCGAAAGTGGTGTTAAGCATGGTACAGATACGCATGAATAAACTGGTTGAGAAGTTCATGAATGCCTATGATACTTCCTCAGTACTGCTTGCTTAGTAAAACTGCTAAGTTCACTTTGAATCCGAAAAGCTTAGCTCTCACATGCCACATTCACAACAACTGCCTGCCTTTTGGAAATGAAAATTTATCCTCTCGAAAGAAAATTACATACTTGGAGTACACGACAGCAGCAGAAACTGTCCCTAAAGTGATGCCTTAGCATTAAACAAGCAGAACTCTGACCCTACATTCGTATTCTAGTATGTAAGCAGAGAGAACTCTGCAAGTTGCCTCGAGACAGTTTCGGTTCCGTTCAGCAATTAGAGGAGCATGGATGGCAGTCTTCAACTCACTCCTGGGTGTAAAATGGGGTGGGGTGTACGGGGTCCACTCACGGGCAGCGAGCGCTTGCCAGACTTGACGGGCAGCACGGGCGAGTCCGGCGGAGAGTCCTGCGGCGTGTTGGGGATGGGCGTCGAGTACAGGTCTAGCACCTGGTGGCAGATGTCTGCAAAATGATGGGTGAGCAGGATTTACAAAAAGAAAAGTGAATTTTGCCATTCTGGTGATGGTAAAACGCGAAGCTACAAGGAAACCTGCAAAGGGAAGCAGATAATGGCAGAAAACGGTGCATTTAGCCTACATGCCATGCATATACAGCACCTCGGAAGAAAAAAAGGAAATATTCAAATGGACACAAAAGAAATGACAGGAAGGGTTCTATTTTGACAAGAATCCTTCTCCCAAAGTGTTGGGCATTCCCAGTAATCAGAAACATGAGAATTTTCCTCAGGCAACAACAGACTGGATGTTAATGTTTACCCCAAAGTCCTTAACAACTTTTGAAAGATATTTGAAAATGTTATGAATTTGTATATTTTTGTGTGTTCACTAGTGGTGTCTATAGCATTTTATGAAAATGTTTGAAAAATGTCTGCAGTTGCAATGAACTTGTGTAAGTGCTTAAATGCTGCCAAGATTGCAAAATCTTGACTTCACTCAGTTCCAGTCACAAGTGTCTCTTCGCTACCCTCACCTACTGTCAATTTCAGCCATTGCTGTCACTCCCACCTTCGTCCCATGTTATGTGAGAAAGGTGGGACTGCACCTTACCTTAAGCTTCCGAATTCCTGTACTCCTTTCCGAAAGGTGTATGTCATAAAGTACAGCAATCGTACACTCTTGACTGTCATAACACTGCAATGCCACGACTCTGCATTTGGGTTTACAACTGAGTGAGTGCGCCATAGCATCAACAATATCCTCCTCATCAGCAAGACGGTATGCACTCACTGCATGGCAAAGGCATCACTCATGTTCTGCCAATCAATCATGTTCAGTAGTTCGTGTGGCCACGTAATCCCTGAGCTTCTGAATCTCATCTGCTAACCTAATTTTGTCTCCCCCTTACACGCTTGCTTCTTTTGTAATCTAGTCAGCTACCCTTAAAGGAGAATTTCGGTGATATTTTTATATTCACCGACTTCGAAAAAACTTTGAACGTACATTCTCTTTGGTACTGTGATGATATGCACCAAATTATAAAACTGTAAATCATTTAGTTTTTAAGAAACGAACTTAAGAACTAGTAGCCAATTCTGGAATCGCACTAGCAATCGTGGGTCCAACCAGCGTATGACTTAAGTGCCTACTCTTTTTCAACACCCTGCCTTGCTCAGAAGAATGATGCAGCGTGCGCTTTCTTCTACCAGGTGACGACGATGCTACCACAGTTCGGTTAGCTAGCCACATATCGTGTTAGTCATCATTGACATCGAGTCTTACACTAAGCATGCTCAATATTGAGAAAACTGAGAAGATCAATTTGGGGCACATCAGACGCTTCCCGCACCAGCGAGTTGAAATCAAAAGGCGATGCTCCCGCGCTCAGATAGTACCTGCAATCACCTCACTGCTAAGCCAGATGAGCTGGCACAGCTTGATTGCGTATCGGATGATATCGCCAGCTTGCCTTTCGTGCGATAGAAGCACCTGTGCTATGTTTACACCCTGACCAGCCGTGGCGGCGTGTCGTGACGTTATTTGTTTACACAACTTGTAGTGGCTGCCCGTTTTGGTTTCTTAAAATTAGTGACAAGTCTCTTGGCAAAACGAACCACCCTAGACTATTAATGCCACTTCCAACCTTTGCAGCACACACAGATTTAAATTAAACTTTTCAGCAGCTTACCCTCGAGCAGCTCGACGGTGATGTCCTCGACGTAGACCTCCCACCAGCGCTGGTGCCGCGAGGTGCGCCCGACCCAGTCGCTGACCTCGAACTTGGACAGCTTGCCTGCCAGGTAGATGAGAGCGATGGCAACCACCTCGGGCTCCCACTGAAGGCACAGCGTTGTGCAAAGGCTGCACAGGCAAAGGCAACATCTGGGATGTCTCTGCAAGCTCCTAACAAAAGGCTGCTACCAATGATAGATGTGCAAACGCTCATGGCCCAACCTCATGGGAGTCATTTTTCAGCACAAAATCAATGGCAGTTGGGAGGATGGCGGGCATACTGTCTGTCTTGATATCTGAAGCAAGGTTTGGGTACGGGCTAGTTCCATTTCACATGTAACTGTAGCACACGTAGAGACAACAGACCAGCAAAGTGCTAGTCTTTGTTCACCTGCCGTCCATTATTTACCGTATTTACTCGATTCTACCGCGCCCTCGATTGTAACGTGCACCCGATTTCTACGACGAAAAAAAAAAAAAAAAAACGTAAGACATCGATTGCAACGCACACCCATTTTTCTCGCTGGCCCGCACGATCACACCACTCGAAAAACGACTCCTTTCGGGAGCGTCTTCCATTTAAATACGAGGTACGGGCGAAGCTTGTGCCCATCTGACGTGTAACAGAGCATTGCCGTCACTGTAGTTTTACCATGGACCGATGTCAGCACGCGAACTTGCTTTACCCCCTTCTTCTCGACAGTTGTGGTGCCAGGCATGTCGAAGTAAGGAGGCGTCTGATCAGCATTCCCGATTTGCCCAAGCAGGTAGCCATTGTTGTGCCGCAAGTGTAGGACGAACCTCTGAAAACTGTGAAGCTTTTCATCGTACTCCTCCGCAAAACTTTTCACATATGCCTGGTCGCCTTCGAAGGAAAAAGCTTTTCCTCTTCATAAAGTTAGTTAGCCAGCACCTGCTCGCTTTAAACTGGCTCCACATTAGCCTTTTTTCTATTCTAAGGCTAACTGCATAACCCGCACTTGGAGCAGTTCTGTCGTCACGGGCCGCCCTGCCGCTCGCTGCCCAAGCACATACTCGCCGAGCAGCTCTTTAATTTGCAGAAACCGACCTTGCTGTGGTCCACTGAAGCCTTTGCGTGAAGCTTTGCTGTCGACAATCTTCTGCTTTTGTTTCCGCCAGTCCCGCACGCACGTTTCGGGAACTCCAAACGACCGCGATGCAGCCCGCTTTACGTCCGTTTAGGCACACGCGATGACTTTTTTTTTAAAAGCGACACGGTGATGCACTCGTCGAGTTTTTGGAGTCGGCCCTTACATGCCGTCGATGCTAATGCGCACCAAGATGAACTCCTCAGCACACGTACGAAGTGCCACACATGGGAAACACAAAGGCAGAAATGGCCGACGCGCCATGCCGATGCACGTAGGGGGCGGCTATTTCGGAATGCCGATGGCAATAGAACGACCGTATTCATTTTTTTTTTTCGTACTCGATTCTAACGCGCATGCAATTTTTTGAACTCGCTTAACCGGAAAAAAGGTGCACGTTAGATTCGAGTAATTACGGTACATGTGCTGCAGTCACATGTGAAATCAATATCCGTATTGGTGGCGAACGACTTGCAGAAAGCAGCAAACACTGCTGAGCATCGCAGAACAGTTAGATCCTGACTGCATCTGACTTCAGATTTTGAAAACACTGAAAACTATTGGTGATGGCAGTCTGTTTTCTGTTGCATGTGTGCGCAGCCCCAAAAAGGCATGCTGCCGTGCTCTTGCTCTGGCAGTCGCCACTGAGAGATGGCTTGAAATATAAATCAATGTGGACAAGCGTTTAGCCAAGCATGCAGTTGAGAAATGTGAATAGGTGTTTCAAACATCCTGTTGGCTGTGAGCAGGTGCATGAGCTTCTTCATACAATACAATAGTATTTTGATACAGTTACAGTTATGCGAATTTCACAATATGAATTTTAAGGTCGTTTCAGATGGATTACATTTTATAAAGTACGCTGCAATTCGTTGTTATACAAATGGTTTTTCCAGCCACCGCAGATGATACGAACGTGCGATTGACCACTACACGCAAGCAGCTTATCTCAAGAGCTGTTCGCACTTGGCCTCAAAGGAAGTGAATGCAGCAGAACCCACTAAAATTTTTCTTGTTCTGCCGCCTAAGCAGCCAAAAAACCACGCAGCGAGGCTGTTGCGAAAAAATCTATCCGAGACAAATTTTTTCACCACGCAATAGCAGATCACCTTTTTGCTTCACGGCTTTCGCTACACTGGCTGCAATAGCTCTCAAACCACATGATTTAAATGACCAGCCACAAATTCAGCATGGCGGCAATGGCACCGGCGGTGGATCACATTGGCGCAATCATGAACTACCTGTGCAGCACGTCAAAACTCACAGCCGAAGAAGCAGACGAAGAAGCAGTCATAGAGAGCCTTGTTTGGATTACGATTGCTGAGAAGACTGTAAGCAGAAGAAGGTGCAGCAGCAGCGAGTCAGCATGCCCTAACGTGTCTCGCTTTTGCACTGCCGGCTGAATCAGTCGCCGCTGCTGGTGGTGCATCTGTTCATGTAGTTTCTGTTGGCATGCCTTTTGAAACAACGTTTGTAGAGATGTAAACTGTTTCTTCTCAGTGTTTTGCACGCATAACTAGAATTCAGTATGAATTTTTAAGCTCAGGAAATGAACAAAATGGAATGAATTCTGAAGCGGCAATGGCGGAATGTACAAGGGGCAGAACGAATGTGAACGTTTTCGACAGACACATACGTTTTCCCGCCGCTCTGGCCTTTTCTCTTGAATTCTCCGGTATAAATTTTCTATGACTGATATTTTTCGTGTCAACTTCGCGGTGCGATTTCCCGGCCGCTTAGGTGGCAAAGCGAGTGAATTTCCAATGAGTGTTGCTGCTTTCACTCCTGTCAAGTGTGAACACGCTTTTAAGCACCAGCAGCATGAGTAAAGCAACCCAACACGTCATTCAGAGACGGTGAAAGCAGGAAAGCTCAAAAGTATGTCACGGACTTTGTTTCAGCAAGAAGTAGATGACCCCAATAAAGTTCTTGTTCATCTTCATGATCAGCTTAAACTTCTTGTTGGTTAATATGAATTCAGCAAGACAAAAATAATTTGCATGCTCCCTTCGAATTCTTGAGATTCTATTGTAGCAAGCACCTAAGCTTCCATAATGTGGTGCCCGATTTGGAGGTTGTTCTGGGATGTAAGACTACCTCAAGTGGTTAACCCAATCCTGTCATCAAGTGTTACATGCTCTAGTGATAGCAAACTACAAAAAGAGGGTCATTGATGCCTGATGTTACACATGCACAGAGGATTGCTTGAAATAAATGGGGAACAGCCCACCTGTCATTGATGAATGTCCAGGCCATTTGCACCATCTTCTGAAGCTTTGACTTGTCACCTGCAGGGACAGGGCTGGCATGGATTTCACATGTTCTGGCATGTTCTCCACTTCCTCAGAATGCCACATGGCTAGCCAGTGTTTAACCAGAAATGCACTGAAGTTTCCAGATAAAGTGTTGGAGGACTATGGTCACAAACCAGTCAAAATCTGAAGATCACCAGCAACGTGAAAAAAGAAAGAAAGACATGTCACGCCCCACCTACGAAGCGAATGATGATGAGTGGGTGAAGTAGTGGGATCGTTTTGTGTTACCGTAAATCACCTATGACATTGCCCACTCGCGCGTGTAAATGAATGACAAACTCACTCGTGTACAATTGCAGTGGACTCCTAGTGAATGAAAATCGCTTAACGAAACTGCTGCTTAAATGAAACAATTTCCTCTAGCATGATTGGCTTCTTATTTCAAGTTCTTCAGTCCCGTTCATCTCTCAGTAAACGGAACTCCTGGCTAAATGGAACACATTTTCCTGGTCCCTTCAGCTTCTGTTTAATGAAAGCCTGCGGTATATACAATGTCTACTGGTCATAAATGATACGTTGTGTTGAGTTGTGATTTTTTTTTTTTTGCCTTCGCTCTGCATCATCATTGTCAAGACGTATCGCAAGTACCTCACATGTGCTGTGCCATGATGGCAGAAAGAAAATGCGTGGTCTAGAACGCGCTTGTTCTTCATCAGTGTCATCGTCATCGACGGCGGTCATTGCTCAACCCTAAGGAGCTTCGCCCCTGGGGACAAAGGAAAAAAAAACAAAACATCCTTTTCTAAAAGCCAGTGCAAGATCGGTTATATGAACTTTCACATGCATAAATGGGAGTCGCCGGGATTTTGTCTTAAAGAGGGACACGTTTGTGTTGCCTTGCGACAGGAGAGGGGCGAAGTCCAAGAGGCTCTTTTGCTCTCCCCTGCCAACTTCCATGGGCACATATAATTAATTTAAGCTAAATCTTGATGCTTTATGTACCAAAACATGATTGTGATGCATGCCATAGTGAAAGAAGAAGGCGCTCTAAATTAATTTCAACCGCCTGGACTTCTTCAACATGCACCTACATCTAAGTACATGGGTTTCCTTGCACTTCGCATCAGGAACAGAGCTTGCATTCAAGAATTTGGAAGTGCTACACATTCACTACTACACTACTAGAACAGGCTCATCTTAAAGGCTACGCACACATGCTTGAACACTGCGATGTATGGTGCTAAAATCCGCGCCACCAATACATTGTTTGGCAATTTTTTTTGGGTTTCCTTACTCCTACAAAGGGTAGATTCACAGTTTAAAAGATTTTGTGTGAGCTTTAGTTACAGCCCGAAAACTGAGAAATGAAACATAGTTACGGAAGAATTCTGGAGCGAGAGCTTGCAGTTGCAATGAAACACGAACTGCTCATCAAGGGCTGTCTTCAAAGACAACGCCAGCGGCACCCTGCGGGTGCTCAGGCAAACAAAAACCTTGTTCACATTTCTCGTGAAACGGCAATGCACGCTCTTGCACGGAAAGCGAGCTTATGCCTTGTTATTCTAGACAACACGGGTGTCAACAGTTTGGACTCACCTTTGAGACACTTGGCGTACTTGAGAAGAAACCCGTAGGGATGACTGACCTGGAGGTCAAACTTTATTGTCTGCAGCAAAATTCGCTCCATGGTCATGACTTCTTCCTGCGTTCGCACACAGCAAAAGCATGAGTTGAATAATGCATGGAACAATCCGAGGGACACTACCGTCGAGTAAATTAAAACAAAAGCTGTCTTCAGCAGTAGCAGAACGAAGAAACAGTATAAGTGACAAGAGAATCAGACCGGACGAAAGATCAGGGCGAGTGAAATGACGTGCTTCAAGTGAAGAAAGTGCTTTTTTTTTAAATGCATTACTGGATGGATGGATATGTGGGGTTTAACGTCCCAATCCACCATATGATTATGAGAGATGCCGTAATGAAGGGCTCGGGAAATTTCGACCGCTTGGGGGTCTTAAACGTGCACCCAAATCTGAGCACACGAGCGGGCCTACAGCATTTTCACCTCCATCGAAAAGTCATCCGCCGCAGCCGGGATTCGATCCTGTGACCTGCGGGTCAGCAGCCGAGTACCTTAGCCAGAGCATTACTGTTTTTTAGGTGATTATATATGACAAAAAACTGTTTGCAGTTACACACAAGAAAAAGAACCTTGACCCACATTCGAAACCACAGTGTGAATGTAACATACGTCACGTGATTTATTCACGTACAAACATACTGGGAGGTCGAGGAACGTTAGTAGACCGTGGAACGTCAGCCGGCTGAAATCCTAGCAAATGCAAGCTCGGGTTGTGTGTGTGTATCACCAACGCTGTGGCTTGCCTTCCTGGATGCTCCGTCGTTGTCTGGCATTGTTCTCTACATTGTCCCCCGGTGAAGCGTAGCCATCCCGGCGACCTAAGGCGCAGTCACTATAGCGGGGTCATAATACGGCTTCAGGCAACTAACATGCAAAATTTCTCTGCCACGATGACATAAGTCATCAGACGGTGTCAAAGGCTCAATCTCATAATTGACTGGTGACGTACGGGTGAGCATGCGGTAGGGCCCATGGTATCGGGCCAGTAATGTCGACGAAAGGCTAGGAGTACTCGGTGGAATCCAGAGCCAGACGAGGGCACCAGCCGTGAAAGTAGGAAGAGGTCGGTCGGTGTCGTTGTGCAGCTTCTGATGGCCTTGGTCCTTGGATGTCAGGCAACATCAGAAATTGCGGTGTACTCAGATGAGTCTGGCGTATAGGGGAGGATAGTGTCCAGCGTGCACGATGGTTCACGTCCGTACAGGAGAAAGGAAGAGGAAAAAACCTGTGGTTGCGTGCATAGCCGTGTTATACACATACATGATGATAAGGGGCGCGAAAAAACGACACAAAACAGAGCGCATCGTCCCGTGTACTTCTTCTCTGTTTTGTGTCGTTTTTTCGCGCCCCTTATCATCATGAATCCGCACCAACTCGCCCAACTTTTTACTTTACTGATTATACACATACGTCACGAATGGAAAGACAGCGTCCTAATTGGTCTGGTGTGAAGCGGTGTACCTTGTCAACATATCACTGTGAGTGCAATTAAATTTTCTGTGAGGCTATTCGTATGCGGGTGATATGCTGTCGTCGTGCAATGAAGGATGTTGCACTGAATGAGCAAAGCTTGAATGGCTTCAGGCAGGAAAACACGCCCCCTGTATCTCAAAAGTTAGCACGGAGCACCGTGGCGAAGAACAAAGTTGCACAAGATAAAAAACGCAACTTCTCTTGTGGTTGCGGTGGGTAGTGCTTCCATCTCCGTGTAACGCGCGAGATGGTCCACGCCGACAATTATTCACTTATTTCCAGAAAACGGCAAGGGAAGTGGTCCATTTAAGTCGATACCCATGCGGTCAAATGGATGCGCAAGGCAAGGCAGAGGCTGAAGTGTACCAGCAGGGCGTTGAGATAGAGCTTTATGTCGCTAGCATGCAGTAAAAGCACGTGCGTACTTGCAAGCAAATGTGTACATGCCGCGCCACTAGTACCGCTGACGCAAACGATTGTACGTTTTGAGGGCGCCGGCGTGAGCGCTTTGCTGGTCGTTGTGGAAAGCAGTACAGATTTCCGAGTACATGCGGTTAAGTATCACTAGCAGCCACCTCCAACCTTCAGTTGTGTTATCTCGCCAATAGAAGAGGTCGTCTCGAATAGCGAAATGTGTGGCTTGAGAGCAGATAGCACTGGAGACCGGATGAGATAACGAATCAGTCAGAAAGTCGGGGAGTTGGGAAATCCATGCATCTTTGCATTGCTCTGATGCCATGTCTGTGAAGTCAATACGTGTCACGACAGCTGAAGAAGATGTCGAGGAGGTTGGATCAGCCGGTAGCGGCGAGCGGGATAGCGCATTGGTGTCGGAGTGCTTGCGGCCGGATCGGTACAGAACACGAATGTCGTAATGCTGTAGACGAAGCGCCCAACAACCAAGGCGTCCCGACAGATTTTTGAGCGATGACAGCCAACATGGAGCATGGCAATCTGTGACAAATTTGAAAGAACAGCCATAAAGGTATGGGCAGAACTTCGCCCAAAGCCCATATAATTGCGAGGCACTCTTTCTCAGTGACGGAATAATTACCCTCGGCTTTCTTGAGGGTTCGACTCGCGAAAGCGACCACATATTTTTGGTATCCTAGTTTTCGTTGAGCAAATACTGCGCCGAGACTGACGCCGCTGGCATCTGTGTGGATCGCTGTAGGCGCATCAGGGTCAAAATGACGTAGTATTGAAGGTAATGTAAACAACCGCCGAAACGTGCTAAAGGATTCGTCGCACTCTTTTGACCAAGCAGAAATGCCTTTGGAGGTTGTCAGCAGATTGGTAAGAGGCATTATGATGGAAGCGAAGTCACGCACAAATCGATGAAAATACGAGCACAGTCCGATAAAACTTCGAAGCGTCTTCATAGAATTGGGCTTCGAATAGTCGGCCACGGTGCGAAGTTTTGCAGGATCCAAGAGGATACCCTCCTTGCAGACGACGTGACCCAGTATAGTGAGCTGGCGTGCGACAAAATGGCACTTGTTGATGTTAAGTTGAAGGCCAGCAGATGTGATACACGTGGGAATAGCACGACGACGAACAAGGTGGGTCGGAAAGTGGCGAGAAAAAACGACGATTTGTCAAGGTAGCAAAGGCACGTGTTTCAGTTACAGCTGCGAAGGATGCCGTTTGAAAGTATCTGGGGCATTGCAGAGTCTGAACAGCACGAGGTTAAACTCATACAGCCCATGAAGTGTGATGAATGCAGTCCTCGGTCGGTCAAGGTCAGCCATTAAAACTTGCCAAAAGACTGAGCGTAAATCCAAAGAGGAGAAATATTCTGCTCCTTGCAAGCAATCGAGAGCATTATCGATGCATGGCAATGGGTACACACCCTTCCGAAATATATTATTGAGCCGGCAGTAATTGACACAGAATCGAATAGACTCTACCTTTTTGCGCACAAGCACAACACAGGACGACCAAGGACTCTGCGATGGCTGGATGCAGGGTGTCTACCAATTACATTTTTCCAAATTCCCTGACTTTTCCAGGTTTTCCATGACCATTTCAAGCAAATTCTATGACCGGTACGTCTGCTTGGAAGAAACTGCGCACTGGAAAACAAACTCCTGAGCGGTAAAAAGAAATTATGAGGCGCTCATATAAAATGGAAACCATGCTGCTTTATTGCATTCCCTTGTCTGAAAGCATTTTTTACAATAAATAAAATATTCAAAGACAATAATTGTCCCTCGACAAACAGAAAAGCTTGTTTACTTGCATCGGCAATGCCTTCACTGTTTCAAGGATTCAATCTCTTGCTGCAGCATGGAGACCTGAAGCTGTGCGTCTTCCATGAGTTTTTGCTTCTTTGATTCAAGCTCTTTCACAAGAGCCGCAGTCCTCTTCTTTTTCCTTTCAGTATCCAATACGTCCAACCGTTCCTTCTTTTTCCTCTCCAGGTCTTCCTTCCATTTGATGCTGGAACTTCGAACCATGTCTATCATCTTGTCTGTTACGTCAACTTCTGCAACACCACCTGCTGCAGACACCTCATCGTACACTAACCTTTGTGCTACGAGTGACTCCTCCTTCATATTTTCCACAAGACATTCCTTGTTCACTGAAAATCCCCGCTCCACAGAAGAATTTCCATGTGAAAGGCACAGCACAATCTTCACAAACAGCAGTAGCTCTTCATGAGAACTTGCACAGAGTTCCACCCATAGCTTCTCCAAGCGCTCTCTTGCACGATCAAATTTTCGCAAACGCACTTGTGCAGTGCTGTTCGAGCACACTTGTACATATGATCTACTTGCTCTCTCTCCTTGTAGGCCTGTAAGGCGCCCATGCTCTATAAGTACTTCAAGTGCAATGTTTAGCTGCTTCTGGCCAGCTTCCACAGAAGCGGCACAAACTGCTGGGTTTAAGCAACTGGCCCCCCTTGTCAGCTTGTATTTCAGAGGTGATCTTTCGATTATCTTTGCTGAACAGGCCTTAATAAATAAGATGCATTCTTTTTGACACTTACCACCGCAGTGTGAGATGGTTTAGTGATCTTTCGCAACTCACTTTTGGCGGCAAGGCCTATGTCAAAGGCAGCTATACCAATGATGTTGTTTGGGTTCTCCAGATCAATTTTTATCAGTTTTGAAAATGTGCCTGCAGCATCCAGCTTTTCCTTTAGCACGATTCGTCCCAGCAGTGACCGCAACAGGCCGTCCAGTGCTGTTGCAAGAAAAGGTAGCATCGGCTTTTCTGTCTGAAACTCAGCCAGAAATGGCTCCAATTCTTCTGAAACTGAAAGCATAAAGGCCAGCTTTACTGGCAGCATCTCGTCTTTCACAGCCGTCTCGACATGAGCATAGCTGCCACACGCTGGAAGTTTCTTTTCTTTCTTGACATGCTCAACATATTTGACCACATTTGGGAGGACTTGCAGTGCCCTAGCAAGAGCCTTGCCATTTTCCAGCCAGCGCACTGAGCAAAACTTTAGCGGAAACAGTATGCTCCCTGTGAAATTGACATAGTCGGCTCGGCGTGCAGGGACGTTTTTGAACAAATTGTACAAGCTTCTAAGAAACACTACCGTGTTCCACTTTGTCACATTGTGGCCTGTTTTAAAT